ATAACACAAAGATCCCCCATATAGCCTCAACAGACTGTAGGGGGCAAGTGCTGTTAGCGAGCACCTATGAAGGCCGGAAACGGTACACGAGGGGGTGGGTGGCCTGCACCAAAACCGACCGCCTTTGTCTCCCTAGTTGCAATGTTTACACACCGCACCAGGTACTTATTTGAGGCAGAGTCGACCTAGGGGAGGCCCGGGACCGGTTCAGATAATTGTCACCGGTGTTGACCGTGAGCGGGTTATCGAACCCAGGTCGCCGGGTTGATAGCGCAGCACGCTATCCGCTACACTACCGCTCCCCACGAGCACACGTACACACACACACACGCGCGCGAGTGCACATACCTTATTAGGACATGCATGGTCCTAAAAGCAACCAGGAGGCACTGTTAAAACAAAGAAACAAAAACTGCTGTCAACAACGGACATTGCAGGGGCACTTTGGCACCCAGTAACTGCGTGAGTTTTGTTGAAATGTGAAGCGGTGAGGAAATCACCAGAAGGTAAAACCGGAATGCCGAATGAACACTGAAGTTCCAACTTCATCCAAGTGGGATCGGGTGGCACGTGGGCCTCAGACAGCCAGTGGCAGAGCAGTGGGCTGGTTACTGCCGATATTTGGCGTTTAAATCCAGCAGTGGAGTTCAACGGGCAAAGCATTCTGCCGTCCTGCTTTGAGGCGAAAGGCGACTCTTTTCGAACGGTTTAAAGTTTCTAATTATTCTCATAACTGCCTGTGTGAGCCGCTCTTGTGACTCGCCTCCCCTCCCTGCTCCCCTCTCCTCGCCTCCCCTGCCCTCCCCTCGCCTCACCGCGTCAATCCCATTTCCTTGCCGGCACTGCCACGCAAAGCACTGAGATCTCAGTCGACATCACGCCGCCTGCTGCAAAATACTCTGGGACTCATAACCCACCACTGCCTTCTCGCCTTATGACAGTCCGCAGCTTTGAGTAAATCTGATTTGTTACACGGATGATGCTGTTAAGCCGGCTGCCCAGCTATTTTACAAGGGAGATCCGTGGTGCATGAGGACAGCAGCAACAATGACATCAACATTGCAGAGAACGAGTACAGGGTCCTTTCGGAACACTGCACAACTTACAAACAAAGGTCTAATGTGAATCGCTCCGCGTTCGCAAATCTGCATCGCAAAGAATGATGATGAGGTTCACCGCAGGCCCAGACCTTTCATGAGCAACAAAAGAGAACACTGAGGGATGGTTAGATGACCGAGCGGTAGCGCGGTCGCCGCTTGTTAAAGAGGTTTTTGGTTCAAGCTCGGCGGCTGCCCTGGTTAACAGTGCAGGAGCATGAACCAAAAGCCCTTCTTGTCTGGTTCTCCGTGGACGTTACGGTTATGACGTTACTCGAAAAGAGTCGGTGAAGTGCGTCGGCGTCACTGTCCAAATTTGCCAAATTTTCTTACTCACGATTGACCTAAATTGGCAAAACCACACGGCAACATCGCCCGCCTCCTGTGAATCTACCGGCGACGATACCCGCCCCGTAAACCACAGCGCCTCCCTTCCTTATAGGCTCGCGCTGGAAGAACGGTGCCAACGCCAGACGCACCGATGAATTGAGTTGCCGAAAGGAGATGAGGCTTTGCCCACCGGCTCCCCACCACTCACCTCGGCCGCCATGAAGGAGAAGGTGTGCATGCCCTGCGACTGCCCCACGACCACGCACACCAGCATGAGCGCCAGGCACAGCAGCTTCATGACGAGCAGCAGGGACAGCACGCGCACGTGGCTGCCCATGGGCGTCGTGGGCGAGAAGGAGAGCTGTGGCGGTGCACGGCGAGGGCGCAGCATTAGGAGACTTGCGTGGTCACTCGTGGGTAACCAGCGCAGGCCAGAGGCTTTTAGCTCGGCCATCGAACAGAGACAGTCACCGCATCGTGCACTTTCAGATACGCTGGAACTACATGCACTTTAAAATCTAGATTGAAAACTAATTTCTTTAAGAACTACTACTTTTGGTGTTTAGTTTGTTCTTCCTCTGCACCTCCGATTAGCACGGTTGCCTATGTACGGTGGGAAAGAAGTTCAACATTCATACACGCATACAACCGTGAACCCTGCGGGTTCTGTCACTGCACCGACAAAGCGTCTGAAGCGCCAATGCTTTCTTATGGTTGTCTAAACACTTCACTCAATTTTCACGAGATAAAAAGGCGAGAGAAGAGAATACCGATTCACACGTATCCAACTGAATTTCAGTGGGCTAATCGTGCTAATCACACCTGCGTTTATCACGGTTGGCTACGTACAGTGCAAAGGAAGTTCAACATAGGTACATATATACTGTACAAAACGTGCTTGTATATACTCCGTATGCACGATGATAATAACACCGTACAATAAAAATAATAAAGCATCACAAACCAATTGGGTGAGAACTGGTGTTTCCGCAACAAGGTAATACTTAGATATTCCCTACGATATAAGAGCAATACCAATAGCATTGCGCATTTTGCTAAATATTGTTGTGTCGTTTAAACTCTGTACCGGTTTCAACCTTCTGGAGTTCACTCGCTTCAACAATTCCTGCTTCACGATACTGGCCTGCAAAGCCAACCATAGCCCAACGGGATCAAAAAAGTTGTGTTCCACTTCCATGTGCAGACACAGACCGGAAATCTTCCTTACGCAAGCTTTTGCTACTTCCTTCGTAGGAAGAGAGGACTCACGTATTCAAACCGATCCTTGCAGAGCTGCACCATCAGGTGCATGAAGGCCAGCACGGAGAACCAGATGCACCATAGCACCACCTCGTCCACGGACTGCACGTTGAGCACCCCGAAGATGAAGATGAACTTGTAGAAGACGAAGTTCCAGAACTTGTCCTTGAGGTGCTGCGACGCAAACCGCAATGATGACTCTACGACTTTAAAATTAATCCATTGAAGCGACATTTGAAGCCAGTTGCACAACACAAAAGCAATAGCTCTCATTGGGAGACCATGTGCCCAGCGTGGGAGTAGTACTCATTTCACTATGAAACCTGTAATCTAATTAACCAATTTTAAAACTCAATCATGATAACGTTCTTGTGGTTAGAGCGCGCAAATGTAAATGCGTCGTACACCCACCTCCACCGGACACATCCAATTAGCAAGGTTGTCACGTGAATAAAACGCTCCAATGTATTACTACCTCGGTGTTGGAGAGTAAACCCACGACAATTACGGATTGCAATCAGCATCATCAGGCTTGTGATCCCAATGGTCTAGCAGGCACTGTGTGGTGGAAATGTGCACCCCCTTACACGAACATTTCAACACAAAGAGTGAACTAAACGTTCGACTGCTTTGGTCGACGACTCGGGGAACGAACTCGATAAAATCCACAGACTAAGACTTGACAAAAAATTATCCAGGTTGTCGTTGACTAGATGTAGACGATGACTACAATAAACAATTCTAATTAATCTAGCATGGCTCAAGACAACAGGTTGAGGCACACCAGCCTATAATTTAGTGAACGAGATGTTTCCACTACAGTAATGGGGATCGTAGTTTCCATTCCTTAAAATGTCTCGTTTATTAAAATGTACGCAGTTTTCTGTCCACCAACTTGAAGCTTTTACTAAAAATTCCGCTGGCCAAAGCTTTATTTTGCTAAAAAGACTTTTCACGTTTCTGGAATCTCCTTGCTGCTCATCTACAGATTGATTCCCTTCCTTACTCCCCCTGCTGACTTCCCTGTACCTAACATGTCTGCTGCTTCTTGCTCCAACATGTTTGCACTGTAGTTCATCTATACACGTGTGTTTATTGTCATGGCTAGACCAAGGTATAGAGCTTACTTCCTTAACTTATTCTGGTGCCTCTTGCTCATATTATATTTGCATTAACTTAATTACAGTCATTCTGTTTGTCCAGTTGACTAAGGCAGTCAGCAATGTTGTCCACTGTTAGTGATTCAATGTTGGTGTTCGGGTCATGCACTCTGTCACCCCCAAAAACAAATGTATCAGTTCAACCAATCAGTCAATCTTTCTAAACACATACTATAGACAAAAACTATACTTGGTCTGCCTCTGTGTATTGTCGTCTCTAACAGCGTTGCTCAATTTTCGCAGTCTATCTCTCTTTGTTCCAAACTCGTTCATTTCGCCTCATCAGTCCGCGCTTTGGTGATTGCTGCACAGCAGTCAAAGTCACCGTCACGCTTGGTCATTTTTGGCAACTCATCATCGTCATGCATGTACGTGTGCTGGACTTCTTTGGTACCGTACGTAGCCAACCATGCGAGGCGGAGGGGCGGGGGGAAGAACAAACCAAACACAAAAAGCAGTTCTAAATAAATTCCTGGATGACACCCACATCGCAAACTCAAACTACCACCGAAAGTGTGGCCACCCCAACCGCGATGCGGGCGGTACACACAGGGGTGCCTGCACTCGTCCGAACCTCTCCGCTGTATTTTTAGCTTTGCCTTCCTGCGAAGGAGATGCGCAGCAGCTACGCCTGCGGTTACCCGTCGGTGTATTTATACGTGCGCTCACGTGGACTACGTGTGGCACCGGCGCTCGGCTCGCGAGCAATTCGTGCCGAGCCAGATCCCAAAAAGACCCACGCAAGACGTCATCCGGAAATTTGCATAGGATCATTCAAGCAACCACCATCTCAAAATGCTGAACGTTATGAATCCCTTTGAGAATTGAAAGTTTGGTGGTAAACCAGCCCTCTTGTTAAGGCTTTCAAACGTATTTCTAGTCTTGTTATCTGGCCTGTTTCACCAGGGAAGCCTCACAGAGTCTCAAGACTCTTATTTCAGGAGGGTCGTGCCAAGATTGAGCAGTAGGGGGCAAAGTGCAGTAAGGGGCAAAAAGTTGCTGTCATGAATACTTGCAGGTAACTTATAATCAACATTGGCAAGTTTGGCCAATAGCAGCTACATTAGACTTTTTTTTTTGCTATGAGCGAAAACAGCAGACCCTGGAGAAACCCCAAGCAGAACAGGGGGAGAACATACAAACTCTACACAGAAAGGCACCCGGGTCAGGAATCGAACACAAGAACTTCTTGCTTCGAGGCGCGAGTGTTCCCACTGTGCCACCACCCTGCCACCCTAACAGCGTTTTCGCCTTCTCAGCCAGCAGTCCCGCTAATCGTGGGTTTGGACTGCTCAACACTTTTATCCTGTGCCTCTTCTCCAACCGCATCCACGTCCTCAAATATCATTCCACAGCATCCTACCACCCTCCGTCTCCCTCCACTCTTTCTGCCCTGTACTGCTGGAATCTTTATAGTTTCCCAACTAAAGGCTGAAAAAGCATGAATCCATTAGCTCTCTCCGTCTGTCCATCCCTCCGTCCGTCCGTAACGGGAGGGCACTAGAACTCTTGTAAACTTTATTCGTTATGAACAATGCTTTAATATAAAGTTGTGTCACTATGAAGGATTCAGTTCGATTCTATTTAGGATTTATGAAGCGCCCTTTTCAGGGCGCTTTATTGAAAATCGGTCAGAATCATCAAAGTGTTGCCCAGAGTGGAGAGACACAAACCAGAGGTGAAAAAAAGGCTGCACTATTTTCAAGTCAGCAAATATGCATTTACCCTTTGCAACTACCCATCAGCTTCTTTATTGCCAAATGGATACTTCCAGACATGAACGAATGTTGCACGCCTTACATGATTCACGTGACAGACAGGCAATCATAATCATCATCTTCAATACACACACAATTTGCAATTAACACGTCTCCAGTTCAATTTCATACAAGCTATATATACACACGTATGAAGTGTATCAAAAAAACTGTCCACCCTGCTCCCCGAGGGCCCCCACCCCTGATGGGTTGTGGCTCTAAGCTTAGCTCTATGGTGTAACATTTCAGTGCAACTTCCACCACCTTGCCTTAGCCAATAATTTTAAATATACTAAAAGTAATCATGTACAGCCCCCTTTGTCAATTTACTGCTAGATGAAGGCCTGTCCACACTGTGATTAGTCAAGGGGATTGTTTGACTATACTTCACTAAACTATTTTTTTATTTTACTAGGTAAGACCCACTGAGCTATACAGCTCTTTTTCAGAAGTGACCTGGCCACAAATGATCGCTCAACAAAGTTTCTTATTATCACGTGGAAATGTATAGCAGCCAAATACTAAATGTGGAGGGAAAACCCGGAGGACCTCGAGAAAAATCCAAGCGACGATGGGAAGAACATGCAAACTACAAATATACAGCAGGCATCAGGGTTGGGATTTGAATCCACAACCTTCCGTATACCAGACGAGGTAGTTAACATCTCGCCACCGTGGCGATAGGTGTGAGACATGTGGAGACTTACGCTTAAAATGTTTTCTATATAACGTCTCACTAATATTTTAGAGGGCTTTCGATAAATGAATCACTCTGTGTTATTTGTTAAATGCTGATACGGCAAGTATTATCTTATTGTAGGCCAAACAGTGGACAAACATTTGCGTACAGATCCAAATCCCACTGTTTGGAGAAATTTAACCATGTGGCCCTTTCTTGTTCCGCTGATAGGACGAGCAAAGTTCACGTAAACTGTGTTGATGCCCCACCACGGTACAAATCAACCGCATCAGCATTCCTGGCATGAGAGATTCCCTCTGCAGTGGCATTCCCTTGAGGCAGTGACTTTTAACTCCAGCCCTTAGAGCCCCTCTGCGTGCCACAGTGCCGCTTTCGATTCACCCACCAATCGGGAACGGTGAATATCGGGCCGGCACCATGAACTGATGGCTGTTAATAGCGGCCTGGTGGCTCAGGAAGCTAATACAGTGTCAGCGACAGACACCGAGCCAGAACTGCAGACAGCAAATGCAGGTTTCAGCCTCACGTTCGAATGCGGGTTTCAGTTGCACTTGATTGGACCGGGTTCTCAAGTGTAGCGGAGTTAATGGTCACAGTCCAGTCACCGAGTGCGTATAACAACACGTCGCTCTAAATTTGAGTTTGCGCTCAATTATAAAAAAATATCCCTGTCATGCGACTATGGCAGAACAGCTAGGAAAGTGCTGCCCCTTATTATCTGTATCAGAGGTCACTTGAAGGGATCTCAGAGGTAGCTCCTGTGGTATTCGCTTCCGTGGGCTGTTCCCTAACACTGAGCGGCACACCAAGCCAGCACCTATGGCACACAGGATTCAAATTCGGTCTCCAACCACGTGCGATTAAAGCGGGTTTGGAATTGTATCAAGTTGATGGTCTCATTTCACCGATGACTGCGTCGTATGACGAACCATGAACCAAACCCTAATTTTCCCATTTGCCTTCGAGTTTACGGATCGCGGATTTGCCGATTGTGGCTATTTTCAAAAACGTTACCCCCGCAATGGGAAAGGTTTTGGTGCAAACTAAAATTATATGGTTGTTTTTTGTATGTGCTTATCGATGACGCTAATAAAACGAATGAACTCTTGTAGTAAAAGGGAGCTTTTATGACTTAAGATCCCTCTGAGATGCAGCAAAGTCCCTTCCATTTCTTTGATCCTGTAACCAATTATGTAGCTAACTGATCACTCCATCAATTATAAGTTCAATTTCTCGACTAATCCACCCTCGATCCTTTAAGGGAGAGTTTTATTTTTCTCACCTGCCTCTCGCTCACTCGCAGCGAGCCAAACACCAAGTACTGCATCCCCTTGGCGATGAGAATGAGCAGGCAGCAGGCGGTATTCACCAGGATCTGAGGCACACGATGGAACAGCAAAAGCGCACACGCACGCAAACAAATTAAGCCGCAGTTAAACTCAGCACTTAACAACCTTCAAAGACAAACAGCCAGGGCAGCCACGGGGGTCAACCCATTCAAAGCTGTGAAGATTAATCGCAGCAACCACCTAGACATTAGTTATACAACACAACAAGAAACCTGAAACACTTACAATGTGAAAATCTACTCCAAAGCACTTGGCATAATAAACAAATCAGGAATTTCACTCGCGTGTGAGGATTAATCGCAGCGACCACCTAGACATTAGTTATACAACACAACAAGAAACCTGAAACACTTACAATGTGAAAATCTACTCCAAAGCACTTGGCATAATAAACAAATCAGGAATTTCACTCGTGTGTGTGAAGGTAATGGTGCAGTCCCTGCTATTTATTGCTCATGCCACTGCTGATGGCAGGGCATATACGGGGGGGGAACTCTAGACAGCCCCTCTAGAGACTATTTTGGCCTATTCTTCCATGTCAGCCAGATGTTTTGGAACAGGTGAATGTACCCACACTTTTGCCCACCACACACAGCCTGCCGATCAACTAACTGCGGTGTACCCATGTATACTTGCCGAATGGATGGACGTGTTTGGGATTTAATAAATTTGAACCATTATTTTGACTGCCACACCGGGATAATGAACCGAAGCGGCCACCTCTGGATTGGCGACCTCTAGAAGTCCGGTGTGGTTAACCATTGCACAACACCGACGGCACCCATAGCAGCAGTCGGACGTGCAAGACAGCTGGGACCCGTGCCGGTTCATGTCAACTTGGCCCGGCTCTCAACAATGTAGACCGGCCAAGGTTTTTAGTCATCTGGGAGGAAACCATAACCACTGAGAGCTTACCACGTCGTTCATACCAGGGGAAAGCAAAGTATGCTTTTAATCCTATCCCCTGCTGCACGTGAAGTGGAGAGACTGGAGAATGAGAAAATGAGAAGAGCCTGCGTGGTGGGTTGAATGTGAGCTTTTTTTTCCAAGTTAGTGCAAATCGCCAAAGCAAAAATCAATCAGGTCTCAGACAAAATTGTGCAGAGCACATAAACATAATACAATAAAACACAGAGTTTACTTAGGGAACCCCAGTATTTTCCCAAACGCCATCATCTGTATTACATTACGCAATTCACAGAATGCTAAAGGAAAACCAAGAGAATGGCAATTCAAGGACAGGCTGCATTCCATTAACATATCACACTGTAGTTAAACACATGCACATATATATTTTGTTATTTTGTTGTTTCTCTTCAACGTGACTTTACCGAAAAAACTAAGAATATACATGCACATCTGTTGCGTTATTACAATTAATGTTCTTCTGATGATTACGTATCAACTCAAATTTTCCAATGTGTGGTGGTCATTTACGAGTTGTGGTTTATAGAAACCAAAGGGGCAGGTCCCCTTTCAAAATGAGCAACATTATCGGCTTATACTGAAAGTAGTCAGGCCAAGTGTGTGAAATAATTCTATAAACTTCAATGTGCAAATCAATGAGCTCATTATTTTAAGCAGACTCCCGTGAATGCGTGTGCGATAAGCAAGCAACCACCGACATTGCATCAGCTTACAATTTCAGAGTGCCAGTGGGGGCTACTGTTTGTGTGCCTTTGGGTTGCACCGCGTGTCGTTCGGCACGTTGTCAGACGTTTCGCTCCACGTGCTGTGAGCTTCTAAAGGAAATTCATTTAGATCCTGGAGCCGCTGCCCCCGCTACTGGTGGCCAACTCTTTTGGCTGTGATTCTAGCAAGATTTTGCGGGAACAGTCGTCTTGTCTTTTTGTAAACGAGAATCGAACAGGCCGTGGGGCGTCGTATTGACCGACGCCTGTACGAGTGGGCCACGGACGTTGTTGTACCTTAACTTTGAAACCAAAGGACAACTCAATCGTGTTTCGGACAGCCCCTAGACATGTGTACTGCAGAACTTCTCTCGCACCGTACGTAGCAAACCGTAGTATTCGGAGGTGCGGGAGGACATGCAGGCTTACGTTGTATAACGCGCTCACCCAAAGTGCAACATGTAAGATAGGCGATTGTGTATTGAAGGCATATGGTGGTAGTGGTGAAGTGCATAGGGGTCCAACCAATGGTGCATGATGATGGGCTGGCCGTAACTTTAACATATTTTCGTCTATATTAACAACGCTTCAAACCCGTGTCGCAGTTTGGATCACAATCAAAATACTGTTTATCGAGGACTAAACAATCTACGAGATTTGCGTTTTGTAAAGGACAATAAGGTGCTATAAACCACGCAAGTGCGCGTATTCTTCAACGCTTTTCTTCTGGAGTCTGAAGTAATTAGCGATTAAGAACGGAAGCCATCGCAGCGGCCGGGCACGAAGCTTCGGCGAGGCCACGGTGCTCGGATAGCGGCTCTGCCGGGGAAGGCAAGCCACGGCCGGCAGGGCGAAGACACCCAAGGGCGGGGTTCCCCCATCACGTTTTATTTTGTCTCCACGTTTCAGGCAACCCTGTGATCGATTGATATTAATTTCATTGGAGAAAGTTCCTAATAGTAACAACTTTATACTTACGTTTAATTCAAGCTGGATAGTGTTTTACGAGAGTTAATCTTTATAGGCCGCGATGAGACAACGGGACTCGGATGGTGGCTCCACCCAGAAGGGTGCGCCTCAGCCGGCGGGTCCAGCACGCCGTGGTGGGTCTCTTTAGCCCTGGTACGAGTATCCCAAGTTTTACACAACCCTTTGACAGATTTGGACAGTTTGCTGTCAGGTATATTTGTAATAGTAGTACAACATCTATATTAAAATTTCCTTCATATTGGACCATCTTTAGGAGAGTTATCGTAACCTCACTCAAAACACCCGGTGATCGGACAGACCGATGGGCGGACAGCGCTTACCCATTAACGTATTAAACCTGATCTAAAACACAGTGATAATAGTAACACAACAACAACAAACCCAACACAACAACAACAGCAGCAATCAATAACAAGCACAGTGCCGTAACAGGGTACTCACCCAGACGCTCCACACGTCGCTGATCATGGACAAGGCCACAACCCCCGCAAACCCGGACACCTCTTCTGCTCCACCGTGAACATCGCCGGCATCGCCAATAACATCACCATCACCACCACCACCGGCATCGCCAACAACGACACTGACGCCTGCCTGCTGCTGCTGCTGCTCGCCCGGCTGGCCGAGCCCGTGGTCGAGGTGCCTGCGGGCCCGCGAGTAGGCCGACAGCAGCCCGACGGACAGGAGGCCCACGCTGGTGGCCACGTACGTCTGCAGCGTGGGCAGCGGCAGCCGCTCCATGATCGCGATCGGCATCGCGAGCTCGACGACAAAACCAAGCCACCGACCAACGAGGGCGTTCAACAAGAAGCCATGAACGAGACGAGAGAAGCGGCCAGGCGAGCGGGCGGACTGCCTCCCGACCTGCCTGAATCACCCCCTTCCCACACCTCCTATGTACGCCGAGCAAGACGCGGGCTTAACATTCGCCCAACAACCCCTCACTCTCTCTCTGCTTTAATCCGTCTTGTACGCCAGAAACAAACAAAAATATCCTCTCGTGCCCGCTCTTCCAACCGCGCAGGTTGAAGCCTCAATTCCTATCCGCGAACGTCCTCCACTTTGCTCGCTCTGCTGCTAAGAGTACGACGCGACTCACGGCCGTGGCCCTGCTACGGTAGTGTCACAGTTCCGAATCGTCGTCGCCTCTTGCTGTCTGGACGACTGCAAACGACTTCGCTGCGAGAAGGAGGAGTGGGTGTGGGAGATGTGGACTGGGAAGGCGACACACACACAGGCACACACAGAGACACAGGAACACACAGAGACACAGGGACACACAGAGACACGCAGACACGCGCAGTTCTTTGCGTGTTGCGAGTGCGGGGAGGGAGGGAGGGGGAGCCGCCTCTTGCTGGCGTGGGCGTGGTGAGTGTGGTGAGTGTGTCAGTGTGGTGAGTGTGGTGAGTGTGTCAGTGTGGTGAGTGTGTCAGTGTGGTGAGTGTGTCAGTGTGGTGAGTGTGGTGAGTGTGTCAGTGTGGTGAGTGTGTCAGTGTGGTGAGTGTGTCAGTGTGGTGAGTGTGTCAGTGTGGTGAGTGTGTCAGTGTGGTGAGTGTGTCAGTGTGGTGAGTGTGGTGAGTGTGTCAGTGTGGTGAGTGTGTCAGTGTGGTGAGTGTGTCAGTGTGGTGAGTGTGGTGAGTGTGTCAGTGTGGTGAGTGTGTCAGTGTGGTGAGTGTGTCAGTGTGGTGAGTGTGTCAGTGTGGTGAGTGTGGTGAGTGTGTCAGTGTGGTGAGTGTGTCAGTGTGGTGAGTGTGTCAGTGTGGTGAGTGTGGTGAGTGTGTCAGTGTGGTGAGTGTGTCAGTGTGGTGAGTGTGTCAGTGTGGTGAGTGTGGTGAGTGTGTCAGTGTGGTGAGTGTGTCAGTGTGGTGAGTGTGTCAGTGTGGTGTGTGTGGTGAGTGTGTCAGTGGGTGAGTGTGTCAGTGTGGTGAGTGTGTCAGTGTGGTGAGTGTGTCAGTGTGGTGAGTGTGGTGAGTGTGTCAGTGTGGTGAGTGTGTCAGTGTGGTGAGTGTGGTAGTGATGTGTCAGTGTGGGTGAGTGTGTCAGTGTGGTGAGTGTGTCAGTGTGGTGAGTGTGTCAGTGTGTCAGTGTGGTGAGTGTGTCGTGTGGTGAGTGTGTCAGTGGTGGTGAGTGTGGTGAGTGTGTCAGTGTGGTGAGTGTGTCAGTGTGGTGAGTGTGGTGAGTGTGTCAGTGTGGTGAGTGTGTCAGTGTTGTGAGTGTGTCAGTGTGGTGAAGTGTTGTCAGTGTGGTGAGTGTGGTGAGTGTGTCAGTGTGGTGAGTGTGTCAGTGTGGTGAGTGTGGTGAGTGTGTCAGTGTGGTGAGTGTGTCAGTGTGGTGAGTGTGTCAGTGTGGTGAGTGTGTCAGTGTGGTGAGTGTGGTGAGTGTGTCAGTGTGGTGAGTGTGTCAGTGTGGTGAGTGTGGTGAGTGTGTCAGTGTGGTGAGTGTGTCAGTGTGGTGAGTGTGTCAGTGTGGTGAGTGTGGTGAGTGTGTCAGTGTGGTGAGTGTGTCAGTGGTGAGTGTGGTGAGGTGTGGTGTGGTGTCAGTGTGGTGTGTGTGTGTCAGTGTGGTGAGTGTGGTGAGTGTGTCAGTGTGGTGAGTGTGTCAGTGTGGTGAGTGTGGTGAGTGTGTCAGTGTGGTGAGTGTGTCAGTGTGGTGAGTGTGTCAGTGTGGTGAGTGTGGTGAGTGTGTCAGTGTGGTGAGTGTGTCAGTGTGGTGAGTGTGGTGAGTGTGTCAGTGTGGTGAGTGTGGTGAGTGTGGTGAGTGTGTCAGTGTGGTGAGTGTGGTGAGTGTGTCAGTGTGGTGAGTGTGGTGAGTGTGTCAGTGTGGTGAGTGTGGTGAGTGTGTCAGGTGGTGAGTGTGTCAGTGTGGTGAGTGTGGTGAGTGTGTCAGTGTGGTGAGTGTGTCAGTGTGGTGAGTGTGTCAGTGTGGTGAGTGTGGTGAGTGTGTCAGTGTGGTGAGTGTGTCAGTGTGGTGAGTGTGTCAGTGTGGTGAGTGTGGTGAGTGTGTCAGTGTGGTGAGTGTGGTGAGTGTGTCAGTGTGGTGAGTGTGGTGAGTGTGTCAGTGTGGTGATGTGTCAGTGTGGTGAGTGTGGTGAGTGGTCAGTGTGTGAGTGTGTCAGTGTGGTGAGTGTGTCAGTGTGGTGAGTGTGTCAGTGTGGTGAGTGTGGTGAGTGTGTCAGTATGGTGAGTGTGTCAGTGTGGTGAGTGTGTCAGTGTGGTGAGTGTGGTGAGTGTGTCAGTGTGGTGAGTGTGTCAGTGTGGTGAGTGTGTGTGTGTGAGTGTGTGAGTGTGTCAGTGTGGTGAGTGTGGTGAGTGTGTCAGTGTGGTGAGTGTGGTGAGTGTGTCAGTGTGGTGAGTGTTGTCAGTGTGGTGAGTGTGTCAGTGTGGTGAGTGTGGTGTGTCAGTGTGGTGAGTGTGGTGAGTGTGTCAGTGTGGTGAGTGTGTCAGTGTGGTGAGTGTGTCAGTGTGGTGAGTGTGGTGAGTGTGTCAGTGTGGTGAGTGTGGTGAGTGTGTCAGTGTGGTGAGTGTGTCAGTGTGGTGAGTGTGTCAGTGTGGTGAGTGTCAGCGTGGTCAGTGTGTCAGTGTGGTGAGTGTGTCAGTGTGATGAGTGTGTCAAAGTGGTGAGTGTGTCAGTGTGGTGAGTGTCAGTGTGGTGAGTGTGTCAGTTTGGCGAGTGTGTCAGTGTGGTGAGTGTGTCAGTTTGGCGAATGTGTCAGTGTGGCGAGTGTGTCAGTGTGGTGAGTGTGTCAGTGTGGTGAGTGTGTCAGTGTGGTGAGTGTGGTGAGTGTGTCAGTGTGGTGAGTGTGTCAGTGTGGTGAGTGTGTCAGTGTAGTGAGTGTGGTGAGTGTGTCAGTGTGGTGAGTGTGTCAGTGTGGTGAGTGTGGTGAGTGTGTCAGTGTAGTGAGTGTGTCAGTGTGGTGAGCGTCAGTGTAGTGAGTGTGGTGAGTGTGTCAGTGTAGTGAGTGTGGTGAGTGTGCCAGTGTGGTGAGTGTGTCAGTGTGGTAAGTGTGGTGAGTGTGTCAGTGTGGTGAGTGTGTCAATGTGGTGAGTGTGTCAGTGTGGTGAGTGTGGTGAGTGTGTCAGTATGGTGAGTGTGGTGAGTGTGTCAGTGTGGTGAGTGTGTCAGTGTGGTGAGTGTGTCAGTGTGGTGAGTGTGGTGAGTGTGTCAGTGTGGTGAGTGTGGTGAGTGTGTCAGTGTGGTGAGTGTGTCAGTGTGGTGAGTGTGTCAGTGTGGTGAGTGTGGTGAGTGTGTCAGTGTGGTGAGTGTGTCAGTGTGGTGAGTGTGTCAGTGTGGTGAGTGTGGTGAGTGTGTGAGTGTGGTGAGTGTGTCAGTGTGGTGAGTGTTGTCAGTGTGGTGAGTGTGTTCAGTGTGGTGAGTGTGGTGAGTGTGTCAGTGTGGTGAGTGTGTCAGTGTGGTGAGTGTGTTCAGTGTGGTGAGTGTCAGCGTGGTGAGTGTGTCAGTGTGGTGAGTGTTGTCAGTGTGATGAGTGTGTCAAGTGCGGTGAGTGTGTCAGTGTGGTGAGTGTCAGTGTGGTGAGTGTGTCAGTTTGGCGAGTGTGTCAGTGTGGTGAGTGTGTCAGTTTGGCGAATGTGTCAGTGTGGTGAGTGTGTCAGTGTGGTGAGTGTGTTAATGTGGTGAGTGTGTCAGTGTGGTGAGTGTCAGTTTGGTGAGTGTGTTAGTGTGGCGAGTGTGTCAGTGTGGTGAATGTGTCAGTTTGGCGAGTGTGTCAGTGTGGTGAGTGTGTCAGTGTGGTGAGTGTGTTAATGTGGTGAGTGTGTCAGTGTGGTGAGTGTCAGTTTGGTGAGTGTGTTAGTGTGGCGAGTGTGTCAGTGTGGTGAATGTGTCAGTTTGGCGAGTGTGTCAGTGTGGTGAGTGTGTCAGTGTGGTGAGTGTCAACGTGGTGATTGTGTCAGTGTGGTGAGTGTGTCAGTGTGATGAGTGTCAAAGTGGTGAGTGTGTCAGTGTGGTGAGTGTCAGTGTGGTGAGTGTGTCAGTTTAGCGAGTGTGTCAGTGTGGTGAGTGTGTCAGTGTGGTGAGTGTCATTGTGGTGAGTGTGTCAGTGTGGTGAGTGTCAGCGTGGTCAGTGTGTCAGTGTGGTGAGTGTGTCAGTGTGATGAGTGTGTCAAAGTGGTGAGTGTGTCAGTGTGGTGAGTGTCAGTGTGGTGAGTGTGTCAGTTTGGCGAGTGTGTCAGTGTGGTGAGTGTGTCAGTTTGGCGAATGTGTCAGTGTGGTGAGTGTGTCAGTGTGGTGAGTGTGTTAATGTGGTGAGTGTGTCAGTGTGGTGAGTGTCAGTTTGGTGAGTGTGTTAGTGTGGCGAGTGTGTCAGTGTGGTGAGTGTGTCAGTTTGGCGAGTGTGTCAGTGTGGTGAGTGTGTCAGTGTGGTGAGTGTCAACGTGGTGATTGTGTCAGTGTGGTGAGTGTGTCAGTGTGATGAGTGTGTCAAAGTGGTGAGTGTGTCAGTGTGGTGAGTGTGTCAGTGTGGTGAGTGTGTCAGTGTGGTGAGTGTCAGCGTGGTCAGTGTGTCAGTGTGGTGAGTGTGTCAGTGTGATGAGTGTGTCAAAGTGGTGAGTGTGTCAGTGTGGTGAGTGTCAGTGTGGTGAGTGTGTCAGTTTGGCGAGTGTGTCAGTGTGGTGAGTGTGTCAGTGTGATGAGTGTGTTAATGTGGTGAGTGTGTCAGTGTGGTGAGTGTCAGTTTGGTGAGTGTGTTAGTGTGGCGAGTGTGTCAGTGTGGTGAGTGTGTCAGTTTGGCGAGTGTGTCAGTGTGGTGAGTGTGTCAGTGTGGTGAGTGTCAACGTGGTTATTGTGTCAGTGTGGTGAGTGTGTCAAAGTGGTGAGTGTGTCAGTGTGTCAGTGTGGTGAGTGTGTCAAAGTGGTGAGTGTGTCAGTGTGGTGAGTGTGTCAGTGTGTCAGTGTGGTGAGTGTGTCAAAGTGGTGAGTGTGTCAGTGTGGTGAGTGTCAGTGTGGTGAGTGTGTCAGTTTAGCGAGTGTGTCAGTGTGGTGAGTATGTCAGTGTGGTGAGTGTCAGTGTGGTGAGTGTGTCAGTGTGGTGAGTGTGTCAGTGTGGCGAGTGTGTCAGTGTGGTGAGTGTCAGTTTGGCGAGTGTGTCAGTGTGGCGAGTGTGTCAGTGTGGTGAGTGTCAGTTTGGCGAGTGTGTCAGTGTGGCGAGTGTGTCAGTGTGGTGAGTGTGTCAGTGTGGTGAGTGTGGTGAGTGTGGTGAGTGTGTCAGTTTGGTGAGTGTGTCAGTGTGGTGAGTGTGGCGAGTGTGTCAGTGTGGTGAGTGTGTCAGTGTGGTGAGTGTGTCAGTTTGGCGAGTGTGTTAGTGTGGCGAGTGTGTCAGTGTGGTGAGTGTGTCAATGTGGTGAGTGTGTCAGTTTGGCGAGTGTGTCAGTGTGGTGAGTGTGGTGAGTGTGTCAGTGTGGTGAGTGTGTCAGTGTGGTGAGTGTGCCAGTGTGGTGTGTCAGTGTGGTGAGTGTGTCAGTGTGGTGAGTGTGTCAGTGTGGTGAGTGTGTCAGTGTGGTGAGTGTGTCAGTGTGGCGAGTGTGGCGAGTGTGGTGAGCGTGTCAGTGTGGTGAGTGTCAGTGTGGTGAGTGTGTCAGTGTGGTGTGTCAGTGTGGTGAGTGTGTCAGTGTGGTGAGTGTGTCAGTGTGGTGAGTGTGTCAGCGTGGTGTGTCAGTGTGGCGAGTGTGTCAGTGTGGTGAGTATGGTGAGTATGTCAGTGTGGTGAGTGTGTCAGCGTGGTGTGTCAGTGTGGCGAGTGTGTCAGTGTGGCGAGTGCACCATCGGTGATTGGACAGCAGGCGGCGCTCTGTGTCCACGTTCACCTCGCGTCGTTTCCCTCTCTCGCTCTCGTGTCCTCGGCAAAGCAGCAGGCGGAATCATTGGGAAAGGAGAAGAACCTCACTCGCTTGTTCACCATCCACGACTCACGACCTTTCCGTGCCGTTCAGTGGCTCCCCTCCCCCGACCCCCACCACCACCTCCTTGCCGTTCAGTGGCCGATCCACATTCCCATGGCCGAGAGCGGTTTGAACTTCACAGTTTTGACCATTCTTGTTTTCCACAAAGTGGTGTGTGCTCGTTTTATTGACAATTTTCTTTTTTTTTAAATGTCAGTCGAATGCTCTAAGGAGTATAGCACAGTCGTGAGTCGGTGCCACCCAGAGCAGTCTCGATCAGGGGCGGTCGCCCCGGGCCCCCGCGCTCCGGGGGTGTCAGATGTGATGCTTGCGGATGAGTTTGAAGGCGTCGGTCGGGGTTGGGACAGCGGGCACGAGAGGATTTGTCTGGCGTAGAAGAAGGATAAAATCGGGGGTTTTGTTGGGCGAATGTTAAGCCCGCGGATTTTGTGGTGCACATAGGAGGTGTGGGAATGGGATATTGAGGGAGGTTGGAGGTTTAGTTGGAGGCCGCGCGCACCCTCCCATGGACGGGCCTGGTGCCACCCATAGCACAGCAGTTTTCTAACAGTCCTTTGTTATCCACTGCTGGATGAGGCAATCCCCATACCATTGCGTTTGTGGGAGTTACTAGAACCGTAACTTCACACTATTCGGTGGGTTTGGCGAGGGAGGTACCTCGGGTCTGGTCACACCTGTGTTTGATTCCCGACTGTTACTAAACATTATTTGGTAACGCTGCTTTGTTGCGAGTCGTAGGGTAAAACCTCAACGCATTCGTCAGTAACACTGCCGCAAGTAGTACTACAGTATTCACGAATTTCGTTCAGTTTTTGTTATATTGGGTCATCACAGTACAGGTATCCCTCGACTTACGAACGTTCGGTTTACGAAATTTAGCGTGAACGCAATTGACAAACTACGGACACTTTTGGGTTAACGAATTTAACGCGTTAACAAAATGTCACCACGCCACGCGCCGCGACATCAGCAAACATGAAGCACCATCGGGAGGCTAACGCCACCCCTGCAGTCCGACGTTGACACCTCCATATGATATTGGTGAGTTCCCTGAAAGTGTCCTTTTATTATCATTCAACCGTTTTAATGTGCTCTTTATTATTGTTAGAATGTCCGTTCGAAAACACATCCCAATTGTTTTTTTCTGCATCGCGTTAAATGGGAGGGAAACGCCATTCCGATTTACGAAAACTTCGTTTAACGCGTGTGGGATTTATTTTTCGGTGAACGCATCCCTTTCGTTAAGCGAGGGCCACCTGTTGCCTCGCAGAGGCGACGTCACGCCCAGAGCGCCGAGCCCATTGGCTGACGGCTGCCCCCGTGACCCCCGACGACGTTCGCGTCTTCCTGCTTCAACATTTTGAGCGGGAAGCGGCCGAGGTGGGACGCAGTTTCTGTGCGGGCCGCGCTCCCCGCTCTCGCCTCCTCTCCTCCTCCTTCTTCTCTTCTGTCCCGGATGGAGGAGGAGGGCTACGCTCGCGTGCCGCCGGGCGGCCTGCAGGAGAACTACCTGAGCCTGGACGACGTGCTCATGACGCACGGGAAGGTTCCGTGCCGGGTGGAGGTGGCGCTGCCGCGGCTCGGATTTCTGGACAAGAACAGCGACGACGCGGGCCTCCCCGCGGTGCGCACACCACGGCACGGCGACATGTGTAGCCCTGCCACAGGACTGAGGCCCGATCCATAGCTCGTTGCCCAGTTCATAGCGATAGCCCTATCCCGAACATCCCCGTGGTTTGTAATCTAGCAATGTACTGTACTTGTTTGGCACCGTGCGTAAGCCAACAGCGCTAAGCGGAGGTGCAGAAAGGTGGTACAGCAAAATGTATACAGGTTGCCCTCGCCTTACGCCTGGTCGGTTTTATGCGATGTGGCATATTTATGGCTGTGGTTTGAATTAACTCATGCGGCTATGCGGTCGGGCGTGGGACAACGCGTACCGTGTGCGTACGGGGAGCGGTGGTGTAGCGGTTAGCGCGCTGCGCTACGGCCAGCACCGGTGACGATTATCTGAACCGACCCTGGGCCTCCCCAAGGTCGACTCGGCCTCAAATGAGTGCCTGGTGCGGTGTGTAAACATCGCCACTGGGAAGACGAAGGCGGCCGGGCGTGGTGCTGGCCACCCACCCCTTCGTGTGCCGTGCCGGCCTTCATAGGTGCTCGCTGACAGTACTTGCCCCTACAGTCTGTTACAGGCTATACGGGGGATCTTTGTTTCGTGTGTACAGTGTGCGCTCCTCGGCGTGCAGCTATCTCGTGCGGTTTCGCTTTGTTGATCCCCCTTGGAACGCAACTGCTACGCAACGAGATTAAATCACTCCGGCGACCTACGGATGCGCTTCCCGTTAAACTCCGGCAAGCATCCCGGTGGCGGGAGGGCCCACAGTCCCATTGTGCCGCCGACGTCGAAGGCGCGCGATGTTAACCACAGCGCCGTCGCGGCGAGGACAGGGCAAGCAGATGGAGCTCCCGCTGTGGATGGCCAAGGGGCTGAGCGACCGGCGGCGCGTCGTGTCCGTGGAGACACCGCGGGGATACCGCCAGGGCTGGCGCACCGTCCTGGGCGCCGATCCGGGCGTCGTGGACCTGCACAAGATGGGGCCCTACTACTACGCGCTGGGCACGCAGCTGCTGCACTTCGAGAGCCCCGAGAGCGGGGAGATCGCCCAGGCGCTGCTGCAGGTGCCGCGCTCTGCTGCTGTGCGTGTTGTTGAACACGCTACAGCGCGGTGTTCTTCGCAAATGGCGAAATATCACCAGCAACGGTTCAAGCAAGCTTGACGAGACAATATTGAAACTGGTTCAGAGTTTGCCTGTGTTGAACCAATGCGGCCGAAGACGTGCGTGTTGCGGTGTTCTTCGCAAATGGCGAAGAACACCGCAACAGGCAAACTCTGAACCAGTTTCAATATTGTCTCGTCAAGCTTGCTTGAACCGTTGCTGGTGATATTTTAGGTGAGATGACCAAACATCCCAATATAGGACCCACAGAGCTTGGGCGAATGTGCGTGTTGGTTTTGTCCGCCTTATGCCTTTACCCACGCTTCTGCAAAAGCCGTGCGCTTTACAAATTCTACGAAGATAGTTTTTGCACAATTTTTATCGACAAGTTTCTTTCCGAAGATCGTAAATTTTAGACTGATTCCATCTATCGTGATATCAGCCTCGACAGTTGGACCATAGCAACGTTGGCCTCTGACTCACTCCTCGATTTTCACGTGGCACAACAGATAGGAAAATATGCAAACAAATATGTTCTTGCACGAATATTACACATTGACTACCCAACGTCAATTACCCAACTCAAATACCAGCGTTTATATAATAAAAATGTCTCAATGTGAAGTGGAAGTGATGTCATCCAGTAGGAAATAACATCGCCCTAATTTGTATGCCATATTTCTAAACTGATATTTGAGTTGGGGGGGGGGGGGGGTGGGGATAAAAATTGTCCAGTTAATGATTAATGCAACGACGTGTCTCCACTCCACCAGGCATTCTCCGGGCGCTTCCGCCGCGTAATGGACGCGTGTCAGAACACGTTTGACGAGGACACGTCGGCGCTGACGGCGCCGCTGGACGCGAGCGAGCGAGCGCTGTTCCGCCGTGGCCAGCGCAGCCTGGAGGCTCTGGCGGCGTGGGAGCAGGGCCGTGCCTCGCAGCTCACCGCCTCAGCCATCGTCAGCAACATGAGGAAGCGCAAGCTCGCCGACCTTGACAGGATGTGAAGGCGCTGTGCCTTACCGTGGCCCCCGACGTGCGTGTATCGTTAGCGATTAAAAAAAAAAACCGGTTAGAGTTGCAGGGAAAAGTGCCGCTTTACAGTGTTTAGTGACACCATTGGTGATGTCATTGCCATTTTTGGCTTATCCGTTAGTTTTATCTTAATTGTGCTATCGGTGTTATGCCATGAGATCTCATGGGGGCTTTCGCAGAGCAGTGCGACCCCCCCCCACCAACCACCGCCAATGTTTGAGAATAGCCCACGCTAGCAGAGATCAGAGCTATCTCTCAGATCCCTTAAAGTGGCTCCCAATCCACACAGAAGGGAGCTACATTTATTTGTTGATTCAAGGGCGGCAGCTCCAATGCACGATTGATGCGGAGGCTATAGCGCTGGAAATTAAACTTACGTGGCCGTGACTTAAAAAGCCTTTTTGCCGCTCCCCCCATGCATTAAGTTTTGAAGTTGAGTTCGAGCCGCGATATACAGCCTGGTTACGTATCTAGTCAGGCGGTGGTGGCTATGCACACCGATGATCCAGCACTGGAGGCAAGGGTTGGTGGATTGCACAAATGTTGCAAAATTTCTCCCGTAGGCGTTGAGGTGCCATACCCTGACTTGGTAGAGAGATGGCATTTTCAGAAAAGTGCGTGAAATAATCTGTTCCTTCTGTAAGGGATTGAGTGTTGCCCCCCCCCCCCCCCAGCCCTTGCATGTGTGGGTTTTCTTCAGATAAACAGTTCATCAATTCTAATCGGGATGCCCTCTGGCTCCTGGACTATTCAACATATTCGAATAGTCTGAGATGCCTTCAATCATGCTACGATTGTTCCAATGGGAAGACGATCGTTACGCCGGGAAAGGGGTGGCTCCCTACTGATCCACCGTATTTTATGTATGTCGATCTTTTAATTGCTACTCTGCAGGAAGCTGGAGACTGCTGCTGAGGCTGGCGTTAACCACGATAAGGTCGGGCCCTACCACAACTAAAAGTGTATATAATCTAATTTTTATTAGCATTCCAACCTTTTTTTCTGGTCATTCCTGAATATTTGTGACCACACTGCGATTTTGTTCTAACATTCATATGCAGTCCTCCCCGTTACATTTAAAATGCACTATCTAGGTCTCTACCTTTTTCCTTCTAGATATTTCTAATCACACCAAATTACTATGCTTTCTGTCTATAATTGTCTGACTAGTCTAGCTTTTTCACAAATCTCACAGTACACTTAAGTAAGTTTTTCTGTCCACAGGACATGTCAAATTCTTCTCCACAGCAGCGTAGTTCACAAGCTGTGAGCTTGCGCCTACGTGCTGAGTTTCACATATTCCAATTGGAAATGTGTGGCTCTGATGATAATTGTCCTTAAATTGCTTGTTTATCGCATGGATTAGTCATTTTCAATTTGTAAGCATATTTAGTAACAACACCAAAGTAATATTAATGTGTTTAATACAAACTAGATTCGAAGCTTTCGTGACTGCAGGAATTACTCTTTGGTTCTTCAGGTAAAGTCACGTAGAAAATAAAATCAACTAATAATAGAATACGACGTTTCGGTTGCAACACAAGCAGCCAATGATAAAACAGACACGGATACAACATAGGTGTGATTAAATCCATTGTGGCTTGACATCCTATTCTGTTCAATGTGGGTGGCTCAAACGTGTGATAATAAAAAAACTGCGTTTCCAATAAATTTGTAAACATTTTAATAAGGGCTGCTTGGTAAGAGTGGCTAAAATACATACAGTAAGTCCTTCACATTTACAAATAAATGCAACCTTTTTTAAAATACATGACAGATCATCCAATTATACTCAGGAACAAACTTAAAACCACATGTAAATGACTGGAAATGGTAATGTTGAAAGAGATAATTTTGTACAATATTGGAAAAGGTGAAGTTACTCAAATTATATTCATGTATTGTATGAATGATCAACTTTGTCCTCAATATAAACCCAGTTTATGACATGCATTCATTCACAGTGGGGTAGCTTGCATAGAATCATACCGGAGGCCTTAAACCTCAAATCTCGCATTCAGGCAAGTGATATTCGCATACAGTAATGGTACAATGGTGACTTATTTTAAATTTAATGATTATTTGTACATGTATAAAAATTATTCGTGGGATCAACAGTCGCATCAAAAGTACACGTTGCGAATAAAAAATATACTTCGTAATTGAAGGAGTAAAAATTAGCAAAACCTGAAACCATGGGTAAAAAAGGCATAAAAATACAATTCATTCCCAGATGTGTAAAATTTGCACAAAATATAACATCTAAGACTAAACTGGCAATTATTGCTATAAATCTTTATATCATTTGTAAAGTGTACCAGTTATTTTGTAAAACCGTAAATAAATTTGACATAGGGCTGGAAGAATACAGTACGCAACTTGCAATAAAATTGTTGCAAGTTCAAATTTTGGCCAAGTGTCAACTCAGTCCATAATACCTCTGGGGTTGACAAATTTGAGAACCATTTTGTGATAAGTGAACAAAGTTTGTCCATTGACTGGCCCCTACAAAAGGAATGTGACATCCTGCCCTGTCTCAATGCACTACACCTGGCTGAGCACACAAAACAAAATTGGATATTAAATAAAAGATTTACATTTCTATGGTACCGCAATAGGAAGTTTCTAATGTTTGGAGCATGATGCGACAATTTTGACGCAGAATTTCAAATAAACTTCGTAGCCAAGATGCGGGGTGGGGGGAAACAATTCGCAGATTAAGGTGCAAAATCTCACTGAGAATTAAGACGTTTTCAGGGAGGTGTTTTGATCAAGAATGCTTACGGAATGGTGGGAAAATGTGGAATACTTCATTGCTCAAAGACCTCCACTGTTTATCGGCTCCCGACACTGGTCCCCTTACGAGCGCTTCATCCCCATCATTCTATCCGTGGCTCACACTCCTCGTGATCCACCAACTATATTCTGATATCGCCGTAAAAAATGTCTGCCAACACACCCATTGCCAAATACAGTTTGGACTTAAGTCGCTTTCAGATTTAACGTACATAACCAAATTACCTGGAATGCACCGGATCTCGGAAACTAAGCAGGCTTGAGCCTGGACTGTGCTCGTCTGCGGGGCTACATGTAGTGGGCAGCAGTCGGCAGTGCAGCTACATTTTAATTTACAAAGGTGCCAGCATGGTGAAGTACGGTCAAGTGGCCCCCTATAATCCACACTACGTAGGGAGGCCCCTCAACCAGCAGTGGACTGACAAAGGGACTGCCTGTACAAGTACATACATTAACTGTTGCACACTTAATGCTTGAACGCATGCTCGATTCAATGGAAAACTGTTCTAAGTCTTACAAACCAATCGGCAATACCCATGCAAAATGTGGCAGAAACCTGTAAGGGAACATTTTGCCAACGCATTGGCGAATTCTCCCAACAAACATTACGCAACCTTCACACCGAATGGTCACATCATGGCTCTGTCCTCGGTTATAAATACTTTCGGTTTTGCATGAAACGCAAAAGAAACCCACAAAAATATACTTCGGCGTGTGGGAGCCACCAGGATCCAACTCCAACGAGCCCCAGGGGATTATATAATGCACAATTAAAAGCTCCCATTATCTTCAAATGCTGTTACTCGCTGCAGCTAATAATGCACCAGTTTTAAGTGGTGAGGATGTTACTGTCAATTATCTAAATAAGCCCATTAAAATAAAACATTTGGGCATTTACTTCCAGTAATTTCTTATTATTCCCAACCCTGCCGAAAAGAGGATACGAGGATTGTCTCATCCAATGGTCCTGTTGAAAAGACCCTTTGCCCAAGAAGCGAGTCGATTTCATTCAACCATGAGGTGCTGGCTCAGCTTTTGATATGGCAGTGGGTAAGAGGTACAAATGAGCCTTGGCAGTGCAGACTTCGCAACCCAGCCCTTTTAAGTGTCGAGCAGAAATTCTACGACATTGCACAGACGCTCATCCTCGAGAGCCTTTACGAGACGGCTCAAGGTGGCTTGCTTTGCCTCGCTCTGCATGAACTTTCTCAGCATCTGGAAGGCCTGCTCGTAGACACCGTTGTATTCACAAGTGATAATCTCGATGGTCGGGTCCTCCAGACCCTTGCACGTTCTCATCAGCTGCCGAGCCACAGCCTTCCAACCGGGGCCCACTTTTTTTGCGAAGTTATTGTGATCGTCCGTGGAGATTGGCCGGTCGTCTGTGCAACACACAGTCATGCAAAAATCGCGCCTATTTGCACGGTCAATTAAATTACATCGTTGGGATTTCAGTAAAGGCAGTGATGCGAGCAATTGCTTGCTAATGCTGTTCCTTTTAGATGGGCCTCTACAAGAGGCATTGGATTGACATCGGGCTGTAAAATATTAATTATTTTAAATGTGGAGCCATCATGCTAGGACCTGCATCAAAAAGATGTGAACCTCAAGAATGTTTCCTAATGAACGAAAGTGATAATATGAATGTAACTGCATCTCAAGAGGCTGTAGACAATGGGAGACAAACTGGGAGTAGAGGTGATGATTAGAGAGGGTGGGGGTGGCGGTGTGATTGGAGTGAGACTGGCCAGTCAACACAACCGAGGTCAGTGGGGTTACTATTGAGTGGGTGTGACCAAGACACAGGTTCTTCAGACGATTAGGGCCCAGGGCAGCCAATGGGTTGAGTGTAACAAATACACCACTTCTCCACTGGCTCAACCAAGCCAGCATGGAAAACCTCACGGTATGGGTGGTTTCCCACCGGCTAATTGCCCTACCGAGTTGGATCTAAACCGTGACACTCTGGCCTCACAATCGAAATCTGGTTCAGGGCCAAGCAGGGCCAGCGGCTGGGCTAACGACGCCTAATTTCACGTGACATCAAGCAGTACACCGTGTCCTCACAGTTAAAGAGTGCATCACTTAATTCACAATTTTATTTTAGTTTGTAATCTCAGTGTATTAACCACTTACCACCGATAGAAGTCTAGTCGATGTTAGCCTCCCTTTCATTGGCATGAATTCTTAGTTTTGGTCACACTCTAATATTTTTACAAAAATTTCACTTACCATATAGTTTTTCTTGGAAAATAAACGTGTTGTCTGGAATGACCATTGGAGCGCTCAGACATGCATCATGAGTTGGAATGCCCCCCAGTTGACAAGATGAACTCGGGCCAGCATTAGAATTTACAAGGTCACCTCCACTCGCATCCCTGGGGTTCAAGTTCAGCATCAACAAATCGTGTTGCATTTTTTTCACCTCGTCATCCTGCAAGGCCGTGGGCTGTGGAGGCAAGTAGAACAAGCCAGTTGACACTGCATTCACCACCAGCATGCCCTCAGTGTGCCCTCACAACCAGCTGACAAGTGTCTAAGGAACTGCCATTAAAGCAGATCACCAAAGGAGAAGAGAAAGATGGAAATGTGTTGGGTTAAATGTAAAACAATTTTAAAATGACGGCTTTTGTCGTCATTGGAGACCAGTTTGTTTTGTTTTTTAGTCAACTATGACTATGGGTTGACTAAAATAATTAAGCGTGAAAATGACTACGACTACCCACCAGAGATGAAAGCAGGGCCGGACTATCATGGGATGAAATTAACTGGTCTGAATGAAGACGTAGACAAAAGATAATCAAGTCAGGTTATTGGAGACTACAGTGCACTGAACAAGACCAAAACTGTTAATTGGCTATAGAGTGAAACCTGGGATTGCGATAACTTGGCCTGCGAGTTTTTTGCAAGACGAGCAAATTTTTTTTATAAATAATTTGATAAACGAGCGATGCCTTGCAATACGAGCAGTACGTACAGTATACGCTTTGTCTGCCGAGCGTCACGTGATCACAACTGAGCCAATGGTTCTTCTCTCTCGCTGTGGGATTGTGGGTAATCATCTCCCATGCTCGGTCTCAGTCGGCGTGCCTCACTCGTATAGTCAACATCCGTGCGAGCGTATACTGTTTACTACAGTATAGTGTTGTGACCACGTGTGTGTGCGTAAAGCATTTTTTTTATTTTGTGTCCAAGTGTAGTGACTGTTCTTTAGTAACTGTACTGCAAGTGAAAGTCGTCCTACACAATAACCCTCTTCTCTCCCTCACACCAGCCACGATTCAATGTAATTAATAAATTTGATTACTTTATATTCAATTTAAATAATAAAAAAGTATTTTGTATTAATCATTTTTTATATGAATACTGTATTTTTGGGTTGTGGAACGAATCATCTGAGTTTCCATTATTTCGTATGGGGAAATTCGCTTTGATATACAAGTGCTTTGGATTACGAGCACGTTTCCGGAACAAATTATGCTCGCAATCCAAGGTTTCACTGTATATACATTTTTTAAGATTTACCAAGTTCAATGAATGGCAGACCTATAATATTGAGGGGGAGGAAAAATCACACGCCCCCTCACACAAATTTTAATAACTAATAGTGGAATAAACTATTGACTGCTTTAGTCATCTAGAATAAGACATTTACTGAACGAAATACACAAATTGCACGTCAACTAAACTACGATTAAACTAAAAATCTTACAAACTTAACACTTGGCTCTTTCTATGCCCCCCCCCACCCCCCAACACCAATCTATGGCCATGCACCCAGCCACCTCAAATCCTGACAATCCTGCGTACCACCATGATCGCAGCAGCAGAAGCGGCTCACCTCATTTTGGCCGATCAGACGGAGCCAGGTGCTCAAATCGAAGTTTCGCTTAACGAGGACTTCACCTCGCACCTGGAGGGAGGTGGTGAAGCTGTCTTGATGTTTTGGCGCAAGGCCTCGATTCAGCTGGACCTCCATGTCCCCATTCACGTAGCGTTCCAGAAACGCGGAGCACGACGCCGTGCTGTCAAACCGCAGGTCCACGCCAAACAGCGTGCTGTGTACCTTCAAGATGACCGGAGGATTATCACTGTCTCCTGCAGAGACACGTCACGTCAAAGCATCTCCACGCTCAAACGAGCAAACGCTCACCCACACTGGCAGCCACAATGACCAGAAACTCCACATTCCCTTTATATACACCAATATATCCATAGGACAGGAGAGGGGGACATTTTCCTTACTGCGGGACAAAAAGGACTTTCAAACATGGCAGGCCACACTGCAGGACGCCCGTACAGCCACAGAAGTGAATGAGTTTGCTAAAATAGAAACGCAGTCATTCCAGATAAAAAAAGATATATCTCCCTCTGGTACCGGATTAGTTCAACGAAGATGTTTGCAGTTTATGGATAAATTATCGATTACGGGACGTTCTGAAGATGTGTGTCTCGTGCGGGGCAGAGACTGGGCGCAGGTGAATGGGACGACCAAGGAATAATAAAGTTATTTGACCTTTGATGGCATCGTAGATGAGTCGGTAAAGTGTTTTCTTGTTTTCATGATTCTGTGTCCATAGCTCTCGGAGGTCCATTACCCCGAGAGAAATCACAAGCGTAACCTGGCCTTTGAAGTATTGCGACATTTTCAAGGGCTGACTTCCGCGTCAGCCAGCGCCACACTGTAAATGAGGAACAGAAACAATAAATCATGACTCACGTTTACGTGTTACCAAAATATGTATATGTAATAAAATAAATGTCAAGTACTATTAGGGGCACATGGTCAGAGTGAGGCACCTTCGGGAAACGTTTGGCTCTGTATACTTATACGAGGCTATCATTGCCGTAAGGATTCTAACGAGAGATATTCAGCACTAATACTAATATAGAAGGAACATATCGTGTGTTCACCGCTCCCAATGCATCAGCAGCAGCAACATGACAAAATTACATTGTTCGGGAATTCTTTGAGGGTCCGTAAATTATTCTCAGGCGCTCATAGAGCCCCTTTAAATTAAGAATCAATTAACATTCATATATTATTCATTTACTATTTAAAATGTTATTTTTTTTGCCAATTCCGGAAACGAATGTACAATACGATTACTGTTGCAACATTATGTATACGGGCGTCTTCACGGCGGAGTATGGATAAACTGATAGTTTGATGGATACACTGAAAGTTTATACATCAAAATATCAGTTTGGAAGTTTATCCATCATCATCATCAAGCCGTGGTCTACGAAGACCCCCCCCCATCCCGGACACACAAACCCAATCGATGGCCTTCCCGCCACCACGACGCGTGCCGACGGTCGCGAGTCCCACAGGGCCGTGACCCGCGACCGGTCGCCGCGGGTCTTCGTGTCGGTGGACGGCGGCGGCGGCTGCGGCCGCGTTGCGCCGCTGAATGTGACCCGGCCCGGCGACTCACCTCCAGCAACCCGCCGACGACGCGAGGAGCGGCTTCCTCCGCGCTTCCGCGTCCCAGTGCGCATGCGCGCGTAGCGTAGACGCGCACTATTTCCTCCATCCCCATCCACAAAGACAAAGGGCCCCCCCCGTGTAGCCTCAACAGACTGTAGGGGCAAGTACTGTTAGCGAGCACGAGGGGGTGGGGTGGCCAACACCACGCCCGGCCGCCTTTGTGTCCCTAGTGGCGATGTTAACACATCGCACCGGGTACACATTTGAGGCTGAGTCGACCTAGGGGAAGCCCAGGACCGGGGATCGAGAACCCGTGTCGCCAGGTTCGTGGCGCAGCGCTCACCCAACCCCTGCGTCGGACGAACACGCGCGCGTGACGCAACGCGGGCTCCGGAATTTTTGTAAAGATTCCCCCGCTCAATGTTGATCATTGAGTTGATTTATGTGGTGCTCTTTTAACGTTTCCACCACCCGCCATATCCCCCCACCAGAGTCGGAGCCACAGGGGGGGCTGGAGGGGGGCTGGAGGGGGGGGCACAGCCCCCCCTTAAATTTTGGGAAAGTCGGTCATCGGAATAACCGGATATCCGGCTGCTGCAAAATGCTGCAGGCTGCCACCTTGTGTGCTGCCCTGCAGGCTGCCACCTTGTGCTGCCCTGCAGGCTGCCACCTTGTGCTGCTCTGCTGGCTGCCACCTTGTGTGCTGCCCTGCAGGCTACCACCTTGTGTGCTGCCCTGCAGGCTGCCACCTCGTGTGCTGCCCTGCAGGCTGCCACCTTGTGCTGCTCTGCTGGCTGCCACCTTGTGTGCTGCTCTGCTGGCTGCCACCTTGTGCTGCCCTGCAGGCTGCCACCTTGTGTTCTGCAGGCTGCCACCTTGTGCTGCCCTGCAGGCTGCCACCTTGTGCTGCCCTGCAGGCTGCCACCTCGTGTGCTGCCCTGCAGGCTGCCACCTTGTGCTGCCCTGCTGGCTGTCACCTCGTGTGCTGCCCTGCAGGCTGCCACCTCGTGCTGCCCTGCAGGCTGCCACCTTGTGCTGCCACCTTGTGCTGCCCTGCAGGCTGCCACCTTGTGCTGCCCTGCAGGCTGCCACCTTGTGCTGCCCTGCAGGCTGCCACCTCGTGCTGCCACCTTGTGCTGCCCTACAGGCTGTCACCTCGTGCTGCCCTGCAGGCTGCCACCTCGTGCTGCCCTGCAGGCTGCCACCTTGTGTGCTGCCCTGCAGGCTGCTTGAGCGGCAGTCTTGCGAGCTTATAGAACTTATTAGCGGCTCCGACCTATTAATAAACTTCGCGTTCAAATCCAATAAAATGTATTTCATACATTTGTGGCGCCCATTGGAAAACATACACTGGATATCTCAGAATATTGAAGTCAGCCCCCCCCCAAGTCAAAATGCTGGCTCCGCCCCTGCCCCCCACATATCTTTGATTATATTTACGAGATGTTCAGAGTTTTTGATGAACGAAGAGGTCCCACAAACACAACTGTCAACAGTAGTAGAACACGCGTGCCAACAAGGACACTCAATTTATTTTGATAATGTTGAAGTTCTGTGCAAAACTAGCTACTACTGGCCAATACGAATTAGATAATCTAGCGAAATTGAAAGAAAGAAAAAATAACTTTAACCGTTCGGATAGCTACCGCCTTAGTGCTGCGTGGAAGCGAATCATCAAATAGCTCATTATTTAAATGCATGCCTACAATTCTACAAAGGGCAGCTGACTGTAATAGGGGTTACCCTTGGTGCGGCTTTTTCAATACACAATAAATATACAACAAGGACTCTAACCCCCCCCCCCCCCCCCCCACATCTACGCCTCTATACAAGGAACTAAACAGGTGGACTTCTCCACAAATCTGTCTGTCGCCTGATGAAGCTAGTTGTAATAACTGGAGAAACGTCGTACTCGGATTGTAAATGTTGTGGCTTGACTCTCCAACACACAACCGGTTAGTGCTGTACTAGTATACTACACTGTACACTAGTGCTGTACTAGTGTACTACACTATACACTACACTAGTGCTGTACTAGTATACTACACTATACACTAGTGCTGTACTAGTATACTAAACTATACACTACACTAGTGCTGTACTAGTATACTACACTATATACTACACTATACACTAGTGCTGTACTAGTATACTACACTGTACACTAGTGCTGTACTAGTATACTACACTACACTAGTGCTGTACTAGTATACTACACTGTACACTAGTGCTGTACTAGTGTACTACACTATACACTACACTAGTGCTGTACTAGTATACTACACTATACACTAGTGCTGTACCAGTATACTAAACTATACACTACACTAGTGCTGTACTAGTATACTACACTGTACACTAGTGCTGTACTAGTATACTACACTATACACTACACTAGTGCTGTACTAGTATACTACACTATACACTAGTGCTGTACTAGTATACTACACTATACTAGTGCTGTACTAGTATACTACACTATATACTACACTATACACTAGTGCTGTACTAGTATACTACACTATACACTACACACTAGTGACGAATTGGCCACATTCTGTTTACGTGACAACCCTTACTAGTTGGCTGTGTCGGGTGGCGGCAGGTTTTTAACGACACAACATTTATATAAATTTTGATTTAAAGCTTTCGTGACTGCAGTGATTCATATTCTTGGTTCTTTCGGTAAAGCCACGTTGAAGGGAAACAATAAAATAATTAAAAAATATATATAAAACAATAAAATTCTCACGACGTTTCGAAACGTCGTGAGAATTTTATTATTTTATATATTTTATTATTTTGTTTCCCTTCAACGTGACTTCACCGAAAGAACCAAGAATATGAACATGTATATATTTACACGATCTAACACAACAAACCTCTATTTTGGATCACATAGGTCAGTGTGTGAGTGAGTAACAGTTTGAGAGATCACCGCACATGCATGGGGCCCTTGACATTTTGTTTAGGCGGTTATTTTTGAATGAAAAAAAAACAATTCCAGATGAAAGCTATTAGATTAACATTTTCACCGGCATATATCGAGAAGCACACAAAGCCTTAAACATCAACAACGTGACTCAAACTACATTATATATTTGTTTAAATTAAAAGTAAAAAAAATTTACCAAGAAGCCGCTGCTGCTGCTGCGTCTTATAATCCGGAGGTATAAATCGACGGTTTTGTATTTTGCGGATCGAGCGCGCGTCACGTGGCCCCGCCGGCGACCAATGGGAGCGGCCGCGCGGCGGAAGTCGACGGCGCGGTCCAGGCGCGAGTCGTTGGCCGTGAGAGGAGGAAGCGTTTGGGGGCGCGACAAACTTCTTTTAAATTAACGTTACACAACGAGGGAACTCGCGTGCCATTTTACTGTTGTACGCACAGCGATAACAACCGAGCGCGAGCCGAGAACTATCTGCGGAATGTAAGTAATCCCCTCAGCGGAGAGGGTCATGTCATGCTCCGATGGTGCGCTCTGTTAGCTGCTGTACGCGATGTCTGCTACCGAGGCCTGGTCCCGTCGCCAGAGCGTTTCATCAGCTTCAGTCATGGTCAATTCACTGCTGGTTGAAGGCCTTAACCCCCCCACCACCCACTCCGAGCCGTCCGCATCTCTCGCGATCTTGCCATGCCAACGACCCCAACCGAGCCATCGCCCTCACGCGGGCTGATTTGCATTTTCCGCTGTGGGACGACGTCTCTGGGCCGTGCCATTCCCGATCTGCCGCCCTCCGTCGCGATCCTTGGCCATCGATCATCGTCGCGACGAGCGCCTCCTGCCCTCGGCCTGCATGTTGTCTAACCCACGTTGCGTTCCCGTATCGGGGAGATTCCGATTCGTGCGTCACTCGTTGTTGCGTGCTGCCTGTGGTACTTGATGTCGGTTTCACATGAATGCACGTAACATGTTCAAATGCACGTGCGCATGTAATTAAGTTGAATTCATATACGCATTCAGTATTGTACCTCCTCCCACTGTAGCAGGTGGGAACGGTGGTCACCCGATGGAGTGAGCGGTCCCGCCATGGGAATATGGAATTTCCTCCACTGGTTGTACAGTGAAGAAAAGCACCCCCTCTTCACGGTCGTCTGAATGAGAAACCACGTTGACTTGACGAAGCACTTGATCACACGTGAGGTGAAGCACAGAGTTCCTACCTCACTGCACAGATAGTATTGGATTATCACATAACAGGATCGTGACAAGTGACAAAGGCTTGCAGAAGCCTTCATCCAGCAGTGGATTGATCATGGCTGATGATGATGACTAGCATGCCTTTGAGACCGAGCTAGTTGCTACGATATTTGATCTGTTTCATAAACATGTTACATTGTCGATTAGTTATTTAGCAATAAAACAATGATTCACAGCCCTTTGTCAATAAACTATTGTGCCTGTGAAAATATTTGTAGCATACTGCACTATGCTAGACCAGCGGTACGTTATAATTTACAAAAATAAAGCAAACCGTTGAGAGTAATCACTTATACAATCACATGCTATTTGTGACAAATTGGACAATTAAAATTGTCATTGACCCCCCAGGTGCGCTCGTTATGTGGGTGCCAATGACCGGCCCAATGTCACTCGCTGCTGATTTATGTTCGTGTTGGATGGAAATTGAGTTGAGGTCACCAGGATCTGAGCATAGTACACGTGCCACTGCTCCCACCACTTGAAAGCAATATAATATTGATTTAAATGAAAAAAAACAGTGGGAATATGTTATGTAAGGTGTTTTATGTAACTAGTACCTTGTGAAATATAGGGCAAATATACTGTATAGTAGTGAATTAGGTTGTAAATGTTCATACAGTACAGTTTTTTTAATTTGTAAAAAAAAATGCGAATGGGATATTGAGAAAGGATGGACAATTTCGCAAGTGTAGTGAAGTTTCCACTCCATGGATGTACGTACGTTGAACTTTTTAATGTCGTGCATTGCCAACCGGAGGTGGAGTGGAATGACAACAAACACAATATTTGTGATCAATATTTGGCACCTTTGAGCAGCTTCTGAAAATCAGATAAACGATGGAAACTCGCCAATGTAATTACAACACCCTTATTTACCTACCAGCAACAGCTGGCCAGTGCTTATTTCCTACATTTCTAACTAAAGCTTTGAACCAACCTTTCTGCAATGGACCGTTAATACAACACGAGTTAATGCTCTTCATTAACACTATTCACCGTTTTATATACGCGTGCCAGTGTAAAATGAACCGTTACATTTTACACTCTGTGTTACTTTCACTTAGTCTGTTTTAGTTCCTTTATTTTACCAGGCGATATCCCATTGAGATTCATAGTAATACTAATCTAATGCCCTTTTAAAAAAACACACAAAAAATGCTCAAATGAGTAAAAAGACGGTTTGATTTCTTCAGGAAGTGATGTTTGGCCGATTGCTAAGTGTGTACTGTGCTGTGTTTAACACGTGGGACGAAAACCAGAGCGCCTTGCAGAAAACCCATGCATAGTAGCAAATTACTTTTTGGTTCTTTCGGTAAAGTCACCTAGAAATAAATAAAATAATAGAATACGACGTTTTGATTGCAACACAAGCAATCATCATCAGGTACGAATGAATGAGAAAACAAACCTAGTAAACTTAGAAATATAATGCAATACAACACAGAGAGTCGGCTAACATAACAGTCAACACCCTACCTGGTTGATTACGTTCTTCCAAAGATTGCAACATTTTTGAGAGAGAGTAGCAAATGTCACTCCGAAAACCTGCGTAGGCAGCTGGGCGACCTACTCGGTGTTCTCCCGATTATCTGATGCCCGGCCGGTATCTCTGCAGTTTGAGATGTTTGTGCCACAGTCTCGGCGTGATCTACCAACTTATAAATTCCCCTGGTCACAGGCATGAGCCTGAAAGTGTATAAAAGCATGAAACGGAAATGAAAGAAAGGGAAAGAGAACAGTGAATGAACGCAACAAGCAATGGGGAGAGAGGATTAGGGATTGGCAATTGAGATGGGAAAGGGAGACGGAATAAGGAGAGCAAACGTGAGAGGTGAGCGAAACAGGGAGAGGGATGAGGGAGGGAACTGGGTAAGATACAGTGAAGGAATGAGAGGGGAAATAGGAATTAAGAAACAAGCAAACACAAAGCAAACAATCAGGATACATTGGGATATACAGCACAGAGAAGGCATGAGAAAGGTGGAGAGAGACGGGGCTCTATTAGAATACAAGGTTGGCTGACTGGTAGGGACGGTTGGGCGGTCTTGTCCAAAGGACATGCGTGTTCCTAGTATATCACTAAACTAACTTGCCTGTAAAAGCAATGGGCAAATTTTCTAAATCCCACTACCTCTGTCCACCTTGTAGTGTAAATTGCGATACCACATCCGGCCAGCACATCGCGTGGGGTGAGTTAAATGTCTGGCCAGTAAGGAAGAGTCATAGAAAATACTCTCGACAGGAGCTCTTTAGATCTCTTCTCTGGTGGCGGATTTTTTGCCAGCAGTGGTGTGAGCAAGTAATTGCAGGGCTGCACCTTTACTTCTTTATCTTTTGCACGTGCGTAACAGGGTTTGTGTTCAGCAACATGGAGCATGGAGGAGACACACACATGGAGGTAGAGCACGCAGTTGACCCCTTCGCTTTAGACCCCGAGCCAAACCGACGCATCATGGACATGAATCTCCAACTCGAAGACTCTGTTCCCCCTACCACCAACGACAACCAGGAACCTACAAGCTCCACAAATCAACATCGCACAGCTTTCCCCTACGGTGCCGATCGCGACCCAGGCGCGGTCGCAAATTTGCTTATGTATGAAGACGTTGAAACGCTTGAAGCTAACACTGCTGCCACACAAGCAGCGATGCAGCAGCGGCATGTCAGTGGAGTCGAGGGAACGGCTGGTCTGTCCAGAAGGAGGCCGTGGCGTTTCCGGACGTATGCGGCGCTCGGAGAGGCGTCGGGCCAATCGCGGTCGCGGCCGCACGACACTCGGAGCGCACGGTCCACGAGGACGGGCGGTTTGATGGAAACCGCTCCGGCGACAACGGCTGCGGCGGCGACACGGAGATCCACTAGGACTGGTGGAGGTGTCGGGAGTGGCGCCGCCAGGACCCATCATGAGGTGTCTTCAAATCTTCTCGCCAGCTTCTTCCGTGCGCAGGGAGCCACACTTATGCAGGTGAGTTTTGTGAAATGGCCTGGACAGTCTCAGCCTCCTGAGTGAAAGTCTCGAGGCTCATACGAAGGCTGGGAGGTTTCGATTTAAAGCTTTCGTGACTACAAGGATTCATCTTCTTTGGTTCTTTCGGTAAAGTCACGTAGAATGAGAATAAAATAATAAAATAAATCTATGCTAAATTCTCCTGTTTGATATGTAAACCCCTTTGTCAAGGTGCCTCACTTCTCTCAACCAGCTTAAAAGACGCTGCAAACCTTAGCAGCGTTCATTGTAGCTCTGTCGTCCCGACAGGTTTGTTCCTTTCACCTGAAGAAGGCCACTTGTGTTGTGGCAGAAACGTCGTGAGAATTTTATTGTTTTATTTTATTTTTTTATTCTCATTCTACGTGACTTTACCGAAAGAACCAAAGAAGGCTGGGAGGTGTTTGCTTTTCTGTTACTGACCCTGAAATAGCGGTGGAAGTTATACACTCCTATGACAGCTATTCACCTGGCAGGATTTAATTTCCTGCCAAAGTACTCGTAGCTCTAGGACATGTTTGAGCTTGTACCGCATGTTGTTTGCCATTTCACTCCATCTGCTGGGGGCTTTTTCAGGAGGTGAATTGAACTCCATTGAACTGAAATGAACTCGATTCACTTCCTGAAAAAGCTCCCAGGTTGTGGATTGAAACATTGGACATCAGCTTGAAAACACATGAGAGGGCTTGCAGCAGAACTGCAAACACTTACTGAAAGAGGTATCTTCATTTTTCTGAAATGTTTTGCTCACAATGGTTACATTAAACCGGTCTGCATTGTCTTGTGTTAAAAGGGCCCCTGATTCTGTGTTGTTCACCGGCCAGACTGCGCTCATGATTCGTGCTTAGGAACTAAGCATCCCCTTCCCCTCTGTGCTGTGCGCGAGTTTAGAGGGACGTGCAGATCGTGCTGGGTTCTGCGCGAGCCAACGGCGGCGACGGTGATTCCTCCGATTCGGCCTCGGATCCCGGGAACCAGGAGCCGATTGAGCTGAGCGGCTCCGACGTGGACCCATACGACGAGAGCACTGAGGAGGCGGAGACGGCCTCTATTGTCGACAGTGGCGGTGAGCTTTGCTCACGATCGCTGCCGGTTCTGCCGGGTCACTGCGAGAGGTGCTCCTTGCGCCCCGCTGCTCTGAGCACCAAAAGCAAATAACCAGGAGAGTGCCCCGGTGAAGTGCCACCGCTAAGGTTAGGGGTACAGTTCTGGTCGGTGGGAGGGCTAGTGCCAGTGGCTGGGTGGCTCGTAGAATTGGGTGGGGGAACAGCCCTGGAAGAATGACACCACAGACATGCTTCTGGAGTCACTTCATTTTTTGGCTGGGGTCTGGATTTCACTGCAGGGTCCTGTTGGTGCAGGCTGAGTGCTCTCACATGGCCATTATGAGTCCCAACGGCAGTCGGCCCAACTTTTTAGTCTTTTTGAAGCACAAAAAGTTTCAAAGTCAAGACATAGTGCCTGGCTGCTCAAACAGGCAGTGGGGCAGTGCATATCTCTCTTGGCAACCCCCTGCTTATGGTGGAAATTACACATTCCTGTGGTGATGGCCAGTCCATCCGTAGAGCAACTACTCTTGACTTATCGCAAAGTGATGCTCGTTTTAATAACTTCCAAGGAAGTAGACTCATGACTCCTGACCAGAATTTTGACTCGCAGCTTTCCATTTGTGAGTTTAGCGCTTTTACAACTGTGCCACCTGGCTTAATAAACGTAACATTGAAGGAAGTTTATTGTGCATTGACATATATACCTTCCATAATTTATTCTGTTGTAACACTGTAGATCTGGATGCCTTGTCAGAAGATGGACATGAAAATGAAGAGCAGCTTCCATCTGCAAATAATGAGCCCACAGCAGCTCCACCTAGCGATCTGCAGGCGGTAAGTACAGATAGCGCCCGCCCCCCACAGATAAAGACAAAGATCTGTCTATAGCCTCTATCAGACTGTAAGGGGTAAGTGCTGTTTACAAACGCCTATTAAGCCACCAAGGTGCACGAGGCGGTGGTGTGGCTGGAAACACGCCCAGCCGCCTTCGACTCCCCAGTGCTGACGTATACACGCAGCACCGGGTGTTTATCCATGATTGAGTTAACCTAGGCGAGGCCCAAGGCCCGGTTCTAATTTCATCGGCCACTGATGTTATCTGTGGTTGGGAATCGTCAAGCTCATTTTGCCGGGTTGATAGCACTGTACGCTCACCATTCAGCCACCACTCCCCCACACGTTTCCTATGTAGTGACTAGTACATTCAAACAGTAAAAATTTACTGTAAACCCTGGTCATCATGATCTTTCCCATGTGTGTGTGCGCGTGTGTCCTGATCTATGCCGTGTGTGCGTCTTCGTCTTTGTGCTGCGATTACGTGCAGGGCGGCCCCGTGGCTGGGTCGGCGGGACTCGGTGCGGGGGCGTCGGCGGGAGAGGGAGCCGGTGCCGGGGCGGCAGCGGGAGAGGGAGCCGGTGCCGGGGCGGCAGCGGGAGAGGGAGCCGGTGCCGGGGCGGCAGCGGGAGAGGGAGCCGGTGCCGGGGCGGCAGCGGGAGAGGGAGCCGGTGCCGGGGCAGTGCTGCCGAGGCCCTGCAAGCTGCCCACCGCCGCTTCACCAGGCGAAGAGGAACAGGACCTGTGCCCCGTGTGCTTTGAGGCGTGGACCAATGCAGGATCCCACCGCCTGTGCACGCTTCGCTGCGGCCACCTCTTTGGATATTCCTGCATCGACAAGTGGCTCCGTGGCCAAGGGGGCAGGTGCCCACAGGTACGGGGGGCCCAGTGTTTGGGGGGGGGGGGGCGAGAATTCTAATGGGTTTGGTGGCCAGATCGGACCCACGTACCCTTAATCAAATGAAAGTGCGAGCAATGTGTAACGCGGGTGTTTCCCCTCTCTCGGCGTGTGACAGTGCAACAAGAAGGCGAAGCGCTCCGAGGTGGTTGTCCTCTATGCCAAGTCGATCAAGTCCGTGGACACGAGCGAAGAGGAGCGTTTGAAGAGGTGCAGGCTGATGGCACGTGTCATGTTGACCTCTTGTGTTTTGGTGACGGTTTTGATGTGTTAGGGGGGTCGGAGCGGTGGCGCCATGGTTAATCACCGTGCTATAAATTTGGCTTCCTGAAATGGTATTCCCGACCGCAGCAAACGTTAGTGGTGAGTGATATCTCAATCGCTCCTGGACATCCCCTCCTTCACTAAACGGCACTTACTAGTATGTTGAATCATGGTCAAGCAAGCTATAACCGACATAGCCGTCATCAATTAACTGACGAAGGGCTGTACATTTATTTTACATTACACGTTACATGTTGCTTTTTCCTCATAATTACAATTGATTAGGCATAAAACAGTAAAAACGGACTGAATATGAATTTAACTGCGTTTGGAATTAATTTGGCTTATGGTAAATACACCCGCAGTATGAATTAGGGTGGCAGCTGGGTCCCTACCGCAAACGTCCACAGCAAGCAACAGTTGTGCTACCGTTAGACCATGACACCGCCCCAGTGACACGTACTTCTCCATTATCCTGGCAGCGAGCTCGCGGCGCAGCAAGTGCAGCGGAGGAAGGCCGAGCTGGAGTCGGCTCAGTGCCGCCTGCAGATGCAGGTGGTGTCGGAGGAGTATCGCAAGCTCAAGCACCAGCTGCAGGTGGCTGACGGAGCCTTGGCTCCCACGTTCGTGTTGCGTCTTTCTTGCCAAACGACTGCCGTGTCGTTCCGGGTCTCTTGGCCTGCGTTTGAACGTTGTGGAGCCAAAGTCGATTCATCTCTCTGATCCAATGAGTGGCCAGTGTCTCCGTACGTCGGCTGCTGTTGGTATCTTGCATAATGGAACGCATTTTCTTGACTCCTGAGGGATGATGGGGTGAGTTGCGTACCCTGACAGGGATTTTACTCACAGACCTCCGATAACAAATTGTTTAGGAATAGGTTTTACCCTTTTAACTGGCACAAAAACTGACACCTTTATTCAAGGCATCATGTTTGCAATAACCACAACACAAGCAGTCAAAATGCCAACAAAAAAGACAACTCTGATAATAATATGCACTGTCCTTGAATTTGATTGGTCCACACCCGAGACAGCTTTTCTTATAGCCTAGTCTCTCCATTGGTGTTGGACCGGAAGACGTAAAAGACATACGCCTTTTGACGTCTTCTCTAAAGAAAGCTGACGCGAGGGTGTGGACCAATCAAATTCAAGGACAGTGCATATTATTATCAGAGTTGTCTTTTTTGTTGGCATTTTGACTGCTTGTGTTGTGGTTATTGCAAACATGATGCCTTGAATAAAGGTGTCAGTTTTTGTGCCAGTTAAAAGGGTAAAACCTATTCCTATATCTTGTTACTGGCAAAGGAGGTCTCATAAACAAATTGTTTGGTAAAACCGCAGCACCATCGGATAAAATATAAACAGTGTGCAAAGTCGGAAATGATGATGAAGATGATGGTGATGTTTGATGATGAATATTCTTTATTTGATTACAATCATGAAAATTAGAATGATCATGTGAATTGTTTGAAGATTTGTTTATTGAACAAATGCATGCTAGAGGAAAACCCAGCCCTAGATTGTGTGTCATGTGATCTGACGTGAGTGTTAAGATTTGTTAATGAGAAAACACACTTTTAAAATCGCTGCTTACCAGCGTGAGTCTACCCGGCAACAATGCGTGTGTACAACTGAGCCGATTGCCAGGTTACACGTGGTGGGATAAAGGGTGGGTACTCTTCCTAGGCGTGTAGCCAACATGGAAGAGTAGCCCAAATACCGTCTAGAGGCACTCTCTTGAACTCCCCTCGAGCGGAGGCCCCTTCCGCCAGCCGTGAATTGAGCAAACAATTGTTCCAGCATTTCAGTGTGCTCCCCTGTCACCTCTGTCCATCCCGTGCTAACGACAGGAGCTCCGCTCCACACTGTCCCAATACGGCGCGGGGTCGAGCTGCACACCGTCGAGCCAGGGAGAGGGCAGCGGCGCCGTCGGCACCTCCCAAATATACAACTTCACCAAGGGCCTCACCGTGTCGGCTGGCGGTGGATGCCGCGTCATGGCCTTCTCGTCCGCCCAGGGGTGCCTCGTGGCCTCGCAGCCCTCGCCCCATGCCTCCTTCATGCCAGGCACGGCCCAGGGGGGCATCTGGAGAGGAGAGATTCAGCAAGGGCTGCTGGTTTTGTGTAGCGTTGTTCGGTTGCATTGGGATTATTTATTGGAATGGTTTTCGTTCACATTGACTCCGTAACAATGGTCATGAAAAAAGTTAAATGCTTCCCCCTTTCTGGCAGGGTAAATAGACACCTATTATCACAAGGCATCAAGTCTGCATTAACCACACAAACTTCTGGTCCAACATACAAACAAATATATGCATTGTCCTTGAAACTGATTGGCCTACACCAGAGAGAGTCTCTCTTCCTGTTTTAAAGCAGCATGTTCGTAATCAAATTCGGGAAGTTGACTTTCAATTAGCATTACCGTATTCTCGGGATTACAAAATGCACTTTTAAAAAAATTGCCCCAAAGATTAGGGCGCGCCTAACTTTCCGGATTTGTCTGATAATCAGGAGAATGCGGTAACCTCCATTGAGATTAATATGAGCACGATTGTTCACAATCATTGGCATCGTCTCCAAAACGATGATCCACTTTAATTTCATGGACCGGACTAAATGTCATCACACCTGCGCCGTGCGCCTCCTCCACCTGTCATGTGACCCCTGCGCGCGCGTCTCCGCCAGGTTTCGGAGTGAAGAAGATCAGTGGCGGGGACCTGAAGAGCACGCAGTACGTGCCCATCCACAGCAACCAAATACGTGGCCTCTCCTTCAGCAGCCACGGCGACAGCCTGCTGCTGTCCGCCTCGCTTGACAACACCGTCCGCATCACCAGGTGTGGGGCCCGGCGTGCTGCACCGGGGCCCTGCGCACGCTCAATGCCTCTTTTCCGCAGCGCGGCCGAGCCGTGCCGATCCAGTCTGGTGTGGTTCAGGAGGATGCCAGGTTGTTTTTTTTCCCGACGCAGGAGCCAAGCCGCGTCGCTCGCTTCGCACGCAATGAGCAATTCGAGATGCGTGTAGATGATGCGGTGGTGATGCTTCGTTTCAGTTGTGTACTGCAATGAACATGTCATTCGCCCTGGCCCTGCTTTGGTCCTGGCTCGGCGTGGGAAATAATCACCCATACCCTGAAGTCCCTGCATTAGCTCTGGACTCGGATGTGCCAGTGGAAAAGGGGTATTAAGGGCAAACCTCTCTCTTTCCTCTTCATCATTTGGCTAATTTCGAGACTGGACGAACTTCTTCCACTCCGGTCGAAGACAAACGCTTATGTTGGACAGCGTAATGTAACCCGTGGGCACGCACGATTTGTCCTAATTAGTTTTTTTTTATTTGACATTGCTCTCTCCCCGCAAGCCTGACGAGCAACACGGTGGTGCAGACGTACCAGGCGGGCAAGCCCGTCTGGAGCTGCTGCTGGTGCGGCGACGAACAAATGTACCTCTTTGCGGGGCTCCTCAACGGCACCATCCTGGTGTACGACATGCGGGACACGCGCACGCACGTGCAGGAGCTGCCCCCACATGGCGTCAGGTCGGAACGTTCGCCCACACCCCCGCGTGCAATCCTCAACGGGAATTTGACTTGGCTCACTTGGCTTTTGCATAAGTAATTCGTATTTCTATCGATCGGATGGTTGGCGTGCAGAGAACAATTGTTTTTTTTCTAGGGAAGCCTCATTCTGCCTTAAGACTGTCGGAGAATCATGCTTGCAGAGTTTGACTACCGACTTCATACCTGTGCGATGAAAGAGAGTAGCAGGAAAAATCTCTGGACATATGAGGGAACAATGCTCGGCAACCACTTTCCCTGCCGCTGTCTGCAGGCCACCATCTAACTCTGCAAGTTGGGCGTTAGACACACCCGCACAATGATCTGTGCTGGCGCCTCAATGTTTATTATATAATACAATTATTAACCTTGGAAGGCCTCAATAACCTTGGAAGGCCTCTCAATACACTTATTTTTCAGTAGGGTCCTACATTGCCATGTGTGGCCATTGCCATGAATGACTATTTGGCAAGGGGGATGAAACTGGAGTACCCGGAGAAAACCCACCGCACGTACTCGGGGATAAGGCTGCAACCTCAGAGCAACTAGGTTAAAGCCAGTCGGCCTCAATAAATGTAATCTCTTATGTTTACCGAACCCCATTGTTGTGCTGCTACACGTCACCTGGCCACCTATCAGTCCACAGCCCCATGCGTACAACACCTGGTATAGGCGAGTGGGCAAACATCCAAGCACAGTGCAGGGTCGGCATTGCTTAGCTTCTCAGATTGGGTGCATTCAGAGTGACCTGGTCGCAAACATCTGGTTGGTTTGATTTCAGACAATTTTAACAATTTGTATTTGTGAGTGATGGCATCAAACTTCAGACGGCCCAGCCTTGTGTGCTTTACACGACAAATAACTCCCTGCGTACTCTAACCCTATGTATACATCCGCTCTCGGTGGCATGGGAAGACCTTCATCCAGCAGTATATTGGCAACAATTGATAATTTGCAATATAATAACAGAACACCCAACGGTTTCGCAGGTTTTTGCTTCTGCGGTGTTCTAGAGGCCGCGATATTCCACACCAAAAACACATTCTGTGCTGTGCCTCCTCGTAGCTAAAACGTACCGTCGTCCTAACACTACGCAGTCACTCATGCGTGTGCACACGCACGCGCATTTGCCAGGTGCCCTGTGGCATCGCTGAGCTACATTCCGCATGGGGGCACGTCCCCATTGGTGGCCCTGCCGATGGGCGGGATCCTCGCCGGGACCCTGGAGGGCAGCTGCTTCTGGGAGCGCCGACCGGGCGGCAGCTTCGTGCCACACGCGCTGTCGGCGGAGCCCGGCGGCGGATGCATCGACGTGCAGTGCGAGCCCCACAGCCGCCACTGCCTCGTCACCTACCGGCCCGGTGAGACGCCCTGCCCTTGTGTATGCGTACGTGCGTTTATACGTGGGTATGTCACGTGCAGTTGGGAGAGCGGCGGCAAAAGTGGTTGGTGCGCCCCGCTCGAACCCGGCGACCCTGGTTCGAGTCCCGCTCACGTTAGTGACAAATAACTGCCCAGTTCAGCCTGGGTCAACCGGTCCCTAGGTTGGCCCAGCATCAAATGAATGTCTGGGTGAGCTGTGTAAACATCAGAATGGGAGATACAAATGCGGCCAGGCGTGGCGCTGGCCACTCACCCCCTCTGTGCCATGCCAGCCTTAATAAGTACTCGCTATAGGAGCACTAGCCTCCAACAGTCTCTTCGGTCTACACGGTGTATGTTTGTCGTGTGCCGTCATTTTGTGAATGTTCATCATCCCCTCCCCAATCCCCTCATGATTAAATTAATGGTTGTGATTCAGTAGGGGACGGGAGAGGGTGTCATGACTCACCACCCCCTTCCAAATAACTGCATTGGAACAGGGCTGCCCCACGACCTCCATAGTGTGGGAAGTCCCTCATCCAGCAGTAGCCTTTGAAAGGGGCTGTACACGCAAATAAACGTGTTTAACACACGCACGCATGCGTGTGCGTGCCTGCGGTCCATGCACTCGCGAGCAGGCCGGACCCAGACGTCGGTGCGCTGCGTGATGCTGGAGCTGGATTCGGTCCCGGAGCCGGAGCCCGGAGACCCTGCGCGCGTCCGCGTTGCCTGCAACCCCGTGCAGACGTTCCACACCGGCTCCACGTGCAAGCTGCTCAACAAGAACGCCATCTTCCCGAGCCCCGCGCACGACGGCAGCCTGCTGGTGTGCACCGGAGACGAGGCCTCCAACTGCGCCATGGTGGGAGCCGCTCCTGTCTCCACGTCCCCTTGTCTGCACCCACCCCCGCTCCTGTCTCCACGTCCCCTTGTCTGCACCCACCCCCGCTCCTGTCTCCACGTCCCCTTGTCTGCACCCACCCCCGCTCCTGTCTCCACGTCCCCTTGTCTGCACCCACCCCACTCCTGTCTCCACGTCCCCTTGTCTGCACCCACCCCCACCCCCGCTCCTGTCTCCACGTCCCCTTGTCTGCCCCCACCCCCACCCCCCGTTCCTGTCTCCACGTCCCCTTGTCTGCACCCACCCCGCTCCTGTCTCCACGTCCCCTTGTCTGCACCCACCCCGCTCCTGTCTCCACGTCCCCTTGTCTGCCCCCACCCCCACCCCCCGTTCCTGTCTCCACGTCCCCTTGTCTGCACCCACCCCGCTCCTGTCTCCACGTCCCCTTGTCTGCCCCCACCCCCACCCCCCGTTCCTGTCTCCACGTCCCCTTGTCTGCCCCCACCCACCCCCCCCGCTCCTGTCTCCACGTCCCCTTGTCTGCCCCCACCCCCCCCGCTCCTGTCTCCACGTCCCCTTGTCTGCCCCCACCCCCACCCCCCGTTCCTGTCTCCACGTCCCCTTGTCTGCACCCACCCCGCTCCTGTCTCCACGTCCCCTTGTCTGCACCCACCCCCACCCCCCGCTCCTGTCTCCACGTCCCCTTGTCTGCCCCCACCCACCCCCCCCGCTCCTGTCTCCACGTCCCCTTGTCTGCCCCCACCCCCACCCCCCGTTCCTGTCTCCATGTCCCCTTGTCTGCCCCCACCCCCACCCCCCGTTCCTGTCTCCACGTCCCCTTGTCTGCCCCCACCCACCCCCCCCGCTCCTGTCTCCACGTCCCCTTGTCTGCCCCCACCCCCCCCCACTCCTGTCTCCACGTCCCCTTGTCTGCCCCCACCCCCCGTTCCTGTCTCCACGTCCCCTTGTCTGCACCCACCCCGCTCCTGTCTCCACGTCCCCTTGTCTGCCCCCACCCCCACCCCCCGTTCCTGTCTCCACGTCCCCTTGTCTGCACCCACCCCGCTCCTGTCTCCACGTCCCCTTGTCTGCCCCCCCCCCCCCCCGCTCCTGTCTCCACGTCCCCTTGTCTGCACCCACCCCGCTCCTGTCTCCACGTCCCCTTGTCTGCCCCCACCCCCCGCTCCTGTCTCCACGTCCCCTTGTCTGCCCCCACCCCCACCCCCCCGCTCCTGTCTCCACGTCCCCTTGTCTGCCCCCACCCCCACCCCCCGTTCCTGTCTCCATGTCCCCTTGTCTGCCCCCACCCCCACCCCCCGTTCCTGTCTCCATGTCCCCTTGTCTGCACCCACCCCGCTCCTGTCTCCATGTCCCCTTGTCTGCCCCCACCCCCACCCCCCGTTCCTGTCTCCACGTCCCCTTGTCTGCCCCCACCCACCCCCCCCGCTCCTGTCTCCACGTCCCCTTGTCTGCCCCCACCCCCCCCCGCTCCTGTCTCCACGTCCCCTTGTCTGCACCCACCCCCCCCGCTCCTGTCTCCACGTCCCCTTGTCTGCACCCACCCCGCTCCTGTCTCCACGTCCCCTTGTCTGCACCCACCCCCACCCCCGCTCCTGTCTCCACGTCCCCTTGTCTGCACCCCCCCCCGCTCCTGTCTCCACGTCCCCTTGTCTGCACCCACCCCCCCCCCCGCTCCTGTCTCCACGTCCCCTTGTCTGCGCCCCCACCCCCACCCCCCAGTCATATCTAGGCCCAATTTCGTAATTTTCCGCATTAAGTTTAAACGTGTGTGCATCATTTATCATCCGTCTACCCCGTCCGTAACAGAGAGCGGCAGGCAGAATAACTCGTAAAGACATTTAAAAATGAACAAGCCTCTTTTATAACATTGTGTTGCTATTAGGGACTTACCCTTTTGAAAACTGGTAAAAAAAAAATCCCCAGTGTGCTACCCATCAGTTTCCCTGCTGCATATTCAGTGCTTTCAAGGACATAATTTACGTTTGGAAAGCGTTACATAATGTATGTGTGCGTGTGATTTGTACCTTGAATTTATTCTCATTGACTAGTTCAGCACGTTCAGAAAAAAACAACCCCCACGTAATTACAAATCCTCTTTTTACATAACCCTCTGCAGATGTATTACTATGCCGTGTATACAGTATTGGGGGTGTCTTATCACAGGGCCATTTATTTCGAGCGACAGAATGGATCTATGCTCGTGCGCAAGGCTGTGTGGTCACGCATTTTATTGCTTTGCAGGTCTGGAAATCCACCACAGGCTCTCTTCTGCAAAAGCTGCCAGCTCAACAGCCGGTGCTAGACATATGTCCCTTCCAGATGAATCAACACAACTACCTGGCCACGCTAACCGAGAAGATGGTGAAGCTATACCAGTGGGGTTAGGATTGGTGAAGGCCTCGAGGGGAGCTCGGACTTTGCACAACAACGACAGCGATTGGCAAAATGCATCCTGAACGAAAAGCACCCACCCGGGTGGCGCTTTCATTAAAATGATCCCCACTCAAAAGTGTTCACATTAACTTTGTTTAACCAGGGTGAGAACTCGAGATACCCTCGGATCAGTCTCATTTGCAAGATTGCCCTGGATCACCAAGATTGCCCTAGATCACCAAAGTGACAAGCAAAACAAATAAGTACATAGGTGAAGCAAAATAGAAATCTGAAGGAAAAAAACCTGTGTTTGATGAGAAATTGAAATATTGTACTATCATTAATCAATGTTTCATTTTTAAATCTGTTTAGTGTAAGTCGGATTGGGCAGATGTTTTTTCAGACTGAGCATAGCACAATTACAAAATTAAGTTACACAAACGTTAAAACAGATGCAGGGTGACCAAGGTCGTGGGTTCGACTCAGCTCTTCATCCCTCCGAAAGTAATAAATTGATGCCAACGTGGTTGTCTTGTGGAGAGACTGCCCCTGGCCTGGGAATGTGGGTTGTCCCAGGCTGGCTCGAGGTCCACCAACAGAAGATAAGTGCCGCCCCATTGCTCGCGTATAGCAGGAAGACGGTTTGAAAGTTTGGACTTTGAAATTAAAAACCACCGCCGATGTCGTTTTGGAGTTGAATGCTGTAAACTTCCCACTCCAGTGCTTATGCATCTTGGCCTGCTGATGCATTATCTTAATCTTGGGAGGATGAAAATAAGGAGACCAAATTAGCACTGTTAAAGCGAATGACTGTTCTCTGTGACACGCCGCAAGCTGCGGACGGCAGTCTTGAGATCACGCACATCTGACTGTCCCTGCAGCTGGCAGACCAGTTTACTTGTGCCGTGCGGGCCAAATAAAGTTACACGTGCGAACGTAAAATGTATAAAAAAGTATATATATTTTTTTACATTTGTTAAAAATTTAATGGGTGGGAATTAGTAGACATTAGTGTTGGGGGGGGGGGGGACAACTGTTAGGTCGATTGTATTCCATTTAGGCTGACTGAGATCGCCGCTGTTCGCCGAGGTTTGCTCGTCAAGTCCAGCGGCCGCAATGGTTATTAGTCGCGGGCGTATTCGCAACTTAAAGTCTGTCCCTGTAGTGGACGTTAAAGATCCTGTCATGTTGTTCACAAGAGTGTCGGCCCATTGTGTTTGCCTGCGTCATGGTCCAATTTTTAAAAAAAATTAATGTTACCCGCAAATTACTCAATTGGAATATACATATCGATTGTTGCCCCATATTCAAAACCCTGGCAGGATCCTCCTGAAAACGAGTTATGAGAAAACGAGTGATATTTTGCTGTATAAACAAGTATAATAAATAATTTTAGTTAGTGACTTAACTTATTTGACCTTTTATATTAAAAAATGTATCACTATGTGGGTGAATATGAACCAATGTCAGTCAGTTTATGTATACAATCCAATATTTGAGTCGAAAATGGAACCACATTTTAACTAGTCAAATTGTATTATAGGGAGCACATTAATCATCTGCCAAGATCCATCCACTGCTCAATGAAAGCCTAATCAATCCATAATAGTCTCTAAATGCAATAAATAATCCACTTAGCATATCCATACGAGCCGGACTCATCGTTGCAGCTACACAGTGGATGACCTTTAAAGCGTGGCCCCCCTCATTTTGGCTGCCACTCCCATCAGCAGTCTCAACCAATGGCCATGCAATCCCTTCTCGAAACGTGTCCTGCCCAAGCCCACGTTTCTTAACCCTCAATATAATGTCTAGAGCTTGTCTTCTCTGATCCATGTGGTCCTCTGTGCAATTCCAAGCACTTTTCGGCTTTTGTTCCACACTATTTGTCAATGTCGATCTTCATGTTCCTGTCATAGCAGGGAATACTTTATGAGAGCATAATGAAAGTACAAATCCTCCCAACAGAACATGTTAAAATATATTCAGAATACTGTAACAGACCACATTCACATTTCAATTTAAATACTTTCATAATACTTTGAATTTCAATAAAAAAAAAAGTTGAACTTTATACAGCAGCGCATTGTGGCGGGTACCAAATTTCACTCAAATTGTGAGCAAACGAAAGGAGAATGAGCATTGTTAAGGGACGCGAACACGCAAATTGCGGCCAGGAGAAAAACTGGCGAGCCGAGACTTCCCCCTGCGGCGTGGCGGGTCGTGACGCTTCTGCCGATTGGCACTCTGCGTGCGAGCATGGAATCTCGTGAGCTGCCTGGATCACAGCCTCGACGTCGGTGGTTCTGGACGACCACAGAAGCTGAAAGAAAGGGTTCCAACGATCGGATCGGTCTTCGGAAGAATTCGACCCTCCGATTGCTTAGCTACTCGAATCAAACCTCAACTCGAGTCGATGAAGATCGCACGCGGTGACGATTGGGGGAAGATCGCGGGTTCGTACCGAAGCCCGGCGTCGTCTTCGCCCATCTGGAATCGAAAAAGCGAGTACCACTGTGTGAGCAGTCGATGGTGCTTGTCTTCTAGAGAAACTGGACCCCTCCATAGGATTGTGGCGTTTCCACTGCCGGCTCACAGCCTCCAATGGGGGATGAGCGGTGGACCTTTGCGAGCGCACCACCATGATTTGCCCAGGACATTATAGGACGTCACTAAAGTTTGGTTTGTTGAGAGAATGGCGCTCGTTTTGGGAACGAGGACTTTTCGCAACAGGCTCAGGGCTGGTTATAGATATATATGTTTGATCTTCACACTTGCGTTAACTGTTTACAAATAAAGTACGCTTTTTCAAGAAAAGTTAAATTGTAACGTCACTTGTACACCAATACCGCGCAATCTCTCGATGCCATTGTCCTTGTCGGAAAGGTTCGTATACGGTTTGCTTCTGTGATGTGTTCTGGGGTTGTTGGCCCATGTGCGTCGTGAGATGCTTCATTTCACCCATCGTGCTGGGAGCTCCAGGAACTGCTTTTTGGCAAGGTGTAGGTTTCCTCCCGGTGCACGCGAAGCCCCCGGCACGTGGAGCGAAACGTCGGACATCGTGCCGAACAGCACGCAGTACAATCCGAATATATCCCATAGCTGTGCAATAAAACTGCAAAAACCTGCTCTGTAGTTGACGGTTCGAGAGGCTGAATGTAAACATTTCTGAAGATTTGATTTCGTTGGACTGAAGTTCCGTTATTCCGAGGTGGGTTTTTCTTCCGCCTGCTGCGTTTTGTGCACTCGCCTGTAACTTGAGCTCATTGGCTGTACAATTTAGAGGCGTGTTTCCCCTTTGTGGAAAAATACACGGAATGTTTACCAAAGATAAATTATTGCGGTGTTCAAATTGCAGAGCCTCGTAAGAGCTGCCAACAACAAAATCAATACAATCTTCTGTTTAGTCTCTTTCATAAATATCCTTGCTGCTGCTGCGTTTAGCCTTAATATATTATCCCATAGTGCACTGCATTAAGGTAGCTGTGATGTTTATTACTAAATAATTTTGCCAAAAAAGGGCTATCTGGTTATTAAATGTCAATAACTCAGGAGGCAATATCACCGACATCCACAAAGCGTCCACAAAGGCGATTAAACTTCATAATAACCTCAATGCATAGAATATTGAAAATTTCACCTTGCCTTTCGAAAGAAGATTACTCGTAAATCTGTTGCCATCGGTTGTAACGCTCGAGCAATGTTCTCATCTTCGAGGCGTGGGGCATCATCGAGTCACTGCAGGGGAATCGGCGGTTCATTTCCCACAGCTATCCAATCGATTTTCCAGGGAATTAGCAAAGCGACGCGACTGCTGAGTGGACATTCAGGACCCTGTGACATCAGCATTTGAAAGCGTCAAGCCATTGTGCCCAGCGTCTCGGCTGAAAGGCTGACTTTGGAAATTACTCAGCCGAGTTAGGCATAAAATATCTCCCAACATTTAATGTTTCCAAGGGCTCTTTGCAAAACATGACGAATATTGTCAGGGCTCTGATATGGTTAAATAAGGTGCAACAACACAAGCTATATTCTTAAACAGGCAGCCACCAGGCGTGCATGGTTTATTCACGCACGTGTCAATTTTGCAAAGCATCCTAGGACATTAATGGCCTTCTCGTGTTCTGCCACCAGTTGTTAGTTTAACAGTAAAAAAGCACGTCGCTGTATGGCCCAGCGTGCAGCGTTGGTGAGGCCCTCCGCTGTGCACAGACCAATAGAATGGTGTCCTTTGGCCTGTGTTTCACCACAGTCACGTGTACTAGGGTCGTTGAGAGTAGCCCCACGTCTGTACGTTCGCTATTGAGCTTCCGACTGGTTCGAAGACACCCCCAGCCTGTGACCGATATTTAACTGCGCCCGCCGGCGCGACTGTTGAGCATGCACGAATGTTTCTTTGCTTCGTGTGGTCGAGGCGTGCGTTTGCCCACTTTTCCTGTACCTGCTCGTCGAGGAGAATAAACTATGGTCATCCTCGCAGCAGCAGCGACATTTGGCTGTCCATCGAACAAAGACGGGCACTGCATCGCGCGCTTTCAGATGCGCTTCTGCCGTCTGGAAAGCTCTTCCTTCCGATATTCGGAATCCACTGGAGCTTTGCACTTTTAAACAATTTAGATTGAAAACGTATTTCTTTTGAACTGCTTTTTGTGTTTAAATTGTTGTCCTTCTCCCGCACCTCCGTTTAGCGTGGTTGGCTGCGTACGGTGCGAAAGAAGTTCAACGGGCATACGTGCAGCCGCCGCCGGATCATTCGTAATAATGACCTGCAATCTACATCTGCTCCATAATACGTGTTTTTTGGGTGAGACCGCGTAAATGTAAATGTGTCGTCTCTATTTACGGATCGAAACAGGAGGATTATTATTCCACAAATCTGGCTGTCGCCTAATGATGCTAGTTATTGATGGCGAAACGTCGTACTCGGATTTTAAATGTTGTGGATTTACGCTCCAACACACCGGTGTGCTGTACTAGTAACGAATTGGCACGTTTTGTTTTCGTGACAGACCTTACTAATTGGCTGTGTCGGTTGGTGGCGAGTTTAACGACACATTTTACGCGATCTAACCAAAAATACCTTCGTTACAGATGATCTTGGTCGTGTTAAACTGACTACATCTGCTCCACAAGGTGGCGCTGCGGCAGATTAAACAACCTACCCCACAGGCAGAAGCGTGGCGAGTTTAAATCGTTGCTGGGCAGGTGGTGGTAGGGGTGGCTGTTCATTCCTTAATCCCTCTGGGATTAAACAAATTGGTGTCGTGTTGTGGGAATTTAACAACACTCGTGCTATGGAGAAGACTGGTATTGGTCATATCGATGTGGCTATCCGCTAACTAGTTCAGGGCAAGTGCAGATGGAGGGGGCACTGAAATATGCTCAATTAATTGTGTGAGAACGTATTGATTTTTTAAAATGAAAGTTAAGATCACACATGACTGCGTTGTAAGTCATACACGTTTTCACCCCAGGTACGTGCAATGTAGGGAGATGCACGGATTTGCACCATTCCCGTGGCCCAGTCCGGCACAATGGAGAAGCGAGTGATCCCACGTGAGTGCTGATTTGCGGTGGGATCCCTGCCTCGAGGTACCAGCGGGAACACTTTATAAGCAGCGCTCTTTTTTATCGTGTGACAGTGCCTTTCTGAAAGGGCCTCTGGGGGTAAAAAGCATGGATTTGAGAAAAAATGCCAGAAAGCTCCTTTAAATTATAAAGGAGGTAATTAAGTAAATAAATAAGGAAATCTTAATCCATTTTCGTTTCTGCAATGAGGCTCAAGCGTGGCGTGTGTGCTGTGTGGTGGAGTCACAGAGGCCCCGCCACTGCCATAGGTCGCTTTTCGAGCGTCGGCGTTGGTGGTGTTTTGTCTACACGTGCCATGCTGACAGACAGGATGCGGGAGCATTGTCAATGTTTACATTTTACTCGTGTGTATGCGCCTGTGCGGTCGGAAGTGGCACAACATTGTGTACTGTGTGTGCATTGTGTGTGTACTGTGTACTGTGTGTGCACTGTGTGTATTGTGTACTCTGTGTGTACTGTGTGTGCACTGTGTGTGTGCACTGTGTGTGTACTGTGTGCACTGTGTGTATTGTGTACTCTGTGTGTACTGTGTGTGTACTGTGTGTGCACTGTGTGTGTGCACTGTGTGTGTGTGTACTGTGTGTGTACTGTGTGCACTGTGTGTGTGTACTGTGTGTACTGTGTACTGTGTGCGCGACCCGGCGAGCGGTGAGTGGTGAGTGGTGAGCGGTGAGTGGTGAGGGCTGAGGAGCGAGTGGTGAGGGCTGAGAAACGAGCGGTGAGTGGTGTGCGGCGAGCGGTGAGTGGCGAGCAGTGAGTGGTGAATGGTGAGTGGCGAGCGGCGAATGGTAAGTGGTGAGTGGCGAGCGGCGAATGGTGAATGGCGAGCGGCGAGTGGTGAGCAGTGAATGGTGAGTGGCGAGCGGCGAGTGGTGAGCGGTGAGTGGCGAGTGATTATTGGTGAGCGGTGGGTGGTGAGCGGTGAGCGGCGAGCGGTGAGTGGCGAGCGGCGAGTGATGAGCGGTGAGTGGCGAGCGGCGAGCGGTGAGTGGCGAGCGGTGAGCGGCGAGTGGCGAGTAGTGAGCGGTGAATGGTGAGCGGTGAGTGGCGAGCGGTGAGTGGCGAGCGGCGAGTGATGAGCGGTGAGTGGCGAGCGGTAAGTGATGAGCGGCGAGTGGCGAGTAGTGAGCGGTGAATGGTGAGCGGTGAATGGTGAGCGTGCGTGACCACGACCGCGTCTCCCCGCACTGCCTCACTGGTGCACGGTGTTTTTTTCAGGAATATTTTGCCGTTTTTTTATGTATTTTCTGTTTGCACAGTCACATCGTCACTTTAAGATGTTTTTCTTGTTGGTGTTTTTGGTTTTTTGTTTGTTGTGGTTGCACCCGATTCAAGAGCCGAATGGCTCACAGGGCTATACCAAATAAATAAACTGAAACTGCAGGGCCCTCGACTGCCGCTCCGAGGGGCGCCAGACGGGGACTTGAGACGGGCGACCAGGCCACCTCATTACCTCATCTTCACCTCATCTCATTCGTATCGATAATTATTCTCGGAGTGGTGGTGGGGGGGGTGTGTCAATTTGGTTCGCTTTCACGAGCATGCGGTGTAGCAACAGTAACATCATCACCACCACCACCACCGTTCGGTTTTGTTTACGAGTGAATCACGTGCATCGATAGCAATCGATTGTCACGCGAAACACGCGATCGGTGGTCGGTCAGCTGTGCAAGTCGCTCGGGCCGCCGCTCCGTGCCCACTCCTAGCCGGGTTGCTGACCAGGGCCGTGTGACCCCCACCAGAGCCGTCTCGAGGGTGTACGGCGAATGGGGGCGACCGCCCCGGGCCCCCTCGCTTGGGGGGGGGGGGGAGTGGGGGGCGCTTCGACGTCTTATAATGCAGATAGAATAAAGATGTGATACAGATATAATACAGTTAAACTACATGACATAATTCAGATATGATACAGATAGTATGAAGGCATTGGAGGGTGGGGCACACGGTGGGAGTTGCCCCGCGCCCCCCATCGGCGCGCGCCGTGAGTGCGAATTCGCCACCCACGCGGCGTGAGTCACCGCTCCGTGTCGCCTGGGCAGATCGATGCTCGCTTTGAAGCCGGTGGCTGGCATCACCCCCAGCCCACCCCTCCCCACCGCTGTGCTCCACGACTTTCTAGAGTTGGTGTACGCGCATGAGCAAAGACAAAGGTCCCCTGTAGCATCTGTTATAAAGAGGCCCTAAATTCTTTTTTTAAACACCTAAATATTAAAACACAAATTGTAAACTTGCGTAGTAAAGTAATTGTATTTTTTTCATTTACTATACAGCCAGATAATACGACAAATCGCTAACCTTAAACACCCAGTCGTTCGTGAAAGTTGAAGTCAGTATAGTACTGTAGTAATGGAGCAAGTGCAGATTCACTGAACCGGAATTGGTAGCTTAAAAGTATTTAGCGCGGGGCCCTTGAAAGTGCGGGGCCCTTGAAAGTGCATATGCTACTTTTGCTACGAGGAAGATAATCCGGCACTGCGTGTAGCGTTAACAGACTGGCGGGGTAAGTGCTGCTTGCGAGCAGTAACCGATGGCACACGAGGGAGTGGGTGGGCAGAAGCACGCCCGGCCGCCTTTGTCTCCCGAGTGGTGATGTTTACACACCGCGTCAGGTACTCATTTGAGGCTGAGTCGGCCTAGGGGAGGCCCAGGACCGGTTCAAACATTCGCAAATGTTTTTGGCCGTGAGCGGGGAATCGAACTCGGGTCGCCAGGTTCATAGTGCAATGCACTCGCACTTCGCCGAAGGCCACCTAACAATGCACCCAAATAAAACCCACGCATACGAGGGGAATTAAACAACCTACCTGCTGTACTGCCTCTTATAGGCACCTATTGTTACGTCCATTTAGGCTCTTCTCAGCCTAAAATGGTCTTGATACATTTCTGATCCAACATTTATATATTTATATATTCACTGCAAAATTGCAACGGAAATTTGGTGAAGATTTACCTTTTTTTAATTGCAATGTCTTTTAGTAAGACAATGAAAATCATTGTGGTATTTTGTGATGGATACAATAAACCTTTTCCCCATTTTCAAAATTGTCACCCTTATCCGTGAATTTTTACAACAGTACGCTGATAATAAAGTTAAAGGTGGAATGTGTGACTTCTGCATCAGCCCGGTTTACTGAAATACAAAGAAGCAGGGGCTGTCGGATGGATCAGCTGCTTTGAGTCTACAGCGTCCATAAAAAAAAAAATCGCCAGATCACATCCTCGCGAATGTTGAGTTTTGTCGAGATTGTAGCAATATCTCCCCATCGCCGACAAAGGGACAAATCGCGTGAGCGATGTGAAAAGTGTTGGCCGTTTGCCGAGATGGGAATCTGGTCTAAAATTAATAAACCATTCAAACCATTTCTATTTTACCAGGTAAGGCCCACTGAGCTATGTAGCTCTTTTTCAGAAGCGACCTGGACACAAATGATAGCTCAAAAAAGTGTCTCATCATGTGCAAATTTATAGCGGCTAAATACAACGCATGCATGCTTCTAAATGTAGAGGGCAAACCCGGAGGACCCAAAGAAAAATCCACACGACCACGGGAAGAGAGAGAGAACGTACAAACTCCAAATATTTAGGCGTCAGGGTTGGGATCTAACCCACGACCTCCTGCATACCAGGGCGAGGGAGATAACCTCTTGCCACCGTGACACCCTAATGCCGTGCTCAAAAGGTAGAGTGGTGGTCTGGATCCAGCGATTAACATTCCACGTTACTATGATGAGGGCTAATCAACCCTTTGCATGGCACGATCTGTTGACTTCCCATAAAGTAGAGCTCATGTTATTAACCCCGAAGAACGATGAACTGAGCCAGAAACAGCACGAGGATTTCAACTTGTAACTATGATTTTTAGACGAGTGGTCTCGTCACGGCCCCGAAGCGTGGAAGTGACCTCACGACCACGTTTTTTTTAATTTACTTTTGGGCGGACATCCGAGGACAGGTTCCATCCCTTGGGCTGTCACTCCGTTATTAGTCTTGTCCAGCGGGCGCGTGGTTATACATAGGACAAGTGCTATGAAGAAGGACCCATTGCCCGGAACGTCGCCGATCATGGTTGTTTTTCATCGTAATTCCGTAGTGAAATTGTTGGTTTTCTTTATTCTTTAGATATTGACGAATTCGTTGAGTATATTTTATTTTTTATTCTAGTATTTGTGCTCGTGTACCACTGCCAACGCAGCAGCAGCAGCAGGACCGCCAGGTATGATGTGCCCCCATTGTTTGCAGTCACGGTGCGATGCTGCCCACTCAACCACCCCCTGACAATCGGACAGCAACGGGCACGCAGTGCCAAGCGATACCTATCCGCTCTAGCATATCAAACCCATCGGGGTAGCCGCCTCCACTGAGCGACGGGGGGGGGGGGGGCTTTCCGCGTGGGGGGAGGGGCGGGGGCCGCGCGCGTGACCCCGCCCCTCACCCAGCGCCTATCCGTGCTGGGAAATACAAAAGCGGCCCCCGAGGTGAGGGGGGGGGTGAAGAGGCAGCAGCAGTAGCAGCGAAGATGGCGCCGCCAGCGCGACGTGTCCGCCGCGGTGCCGTGATCAGCACCGCTCTGCTCTGCTGCTTCTTCTTCTTCCTCGCCTCGCTGGGCCTCGTCAACGGCGAGGACAGCAACAACGGTATCCAGCACGACCGCAACAGAGGCGCGCCGCGCGAGGGCGAGGCGGCTCCCCCCGTTGACGCTGACCAGGCGGTCGGAGTGGCCGTGGCGCAGCCGGCGGCAGGCCGTGGCCCCGACGGGGCGGCTGCGCCTCCCCCCCCCAACAACGCGCCCCGGAGGCCGATGCAGAAGCGAGGCCCCCAGGGCCCCGCGTGGAAGATCGCGGAGGAGGCGGCGTGCACCGACGACGTCAAGCACCTGTGCCCCAAGAATACGTGGGGCAACAACTTCGCGGTGCTCGAGTGCCTGCAGGACAACCCCGAGGTGCGTGCGTGAAGCGGGTGGAAGGGGGTCGTGGTCGTGCTCACGCCGCGTGGAGGACGACGAAGCCCGCGGCGCAGTGGTCCCGTGGGGCTCCAGGGGCTGTGGGCACGCTCGGGAGTCCCGTGGGGCTCCAGGGGCTGTGGGCACGCTCGGGAGTCCCGTGGGGCTCCAGGGGCTGTGGGCACGCTCGGGAGTCCCGTGGGGCTCCAGGGGCTGTGGGCACGCTCGGGAGTCCCGTGGGGCTCCAGGGGCTGTGGGCACGCTCGGGAGTCCCGTGGGGCTCCAGGGGCTGTGGGCACACTCGGGAGTCCCGTGGGGCTCCAGGGGCTGTGGGCACGCTCGGGAGTCCCGTGGGGCTCCGTATCGCGGTCGCGGGCCCCCTCGGCTTCTGCATCTACGATTATCTTGACTCGGTTATCGTGGTGGTGGTGGTGGGGTTCTCAGTCCCCCCGGACTCCGTGAGGCTCTCGGTTAGGTGGCATGGCCATGAGTGTGTGAGTCCGTGGGGCTCTTAGAGTCTCATCGTCGCTACGAGTCCCTGGGTCCCGACTCTGATCAGGCCCGATCGAGACTCGGCTCAGTCCGTCAGCCTCCAATCCGTGCGTCTTAATCACGGCGAGTGCCACCCCCGACCCCTGCATCACCGACTAAACGAGAGGCTCATAGCTCGCTTGATGAGCCGTGGACTCACTCTGACTCTAGTTAATGGATGCCTCATGGCGGGCGTCTTCAGTGGTGCCTCGTGGAGTCGCATCGGTTGTTGCTTCCTTGTCCGGCTGACTTAACGCTGCCCCCCCTTCGTTGCTGACTCATTGAATCCACAATCTTCGTCACCAGCACCACCGTTCCGTTATCACCAAATCTTCTGCTATCTTCCTCGCCACCGCCACTACCATTTCCTCTGTATCACCATCTTCCCTATCGCCACCTTGTCAACCACTGTCTCCATTAACGCCTCCATTGCCACCTCCACGATGACCTTCCTCACCAGCTCCATCAACATTTAGTTAATCACCACATCCTCCATCACCTCTATCATCATCATCACTTCACCACCACTTCTCCCCCATCACCTCTTCCATCACCACCACTTTCACCATCACCACTACCACTTTTCCTCTCAGACACCTCCATCATCACCCCCACCACCGATTTCACCAACACCTCCACACCACCACTTTATCCATCATCACCACCTCCATCATCACCACTACGTTTCCTCTCGGCCACCTCCATGATCAACATCACCTCCACACCACCACCACTTTATCCATCATCACCACCTCCATCATCACCACTGCGTTTCCTCTCGGCCACCTCCATGATCAACATCACCTCCACACCACCACCATTTTACCCATCACCTCCACCACCACCGCTGTTGTCATCTTCATCATCACCCCTCGTTGTCACTTCAGAGATGTTGTCTCGCTGCGGTTGTGCACGGGGCGCGTTCCGTGCCGGCCGTGAATGAACGCGGTGACATTTTAATCTCCCCCACACAGCCAGGCAACGACGCGACATGCGGGCGGGGGACCCTGCAGCTCAAAGTTGAGCCACAAAGACCCTGAAAGGGAGGGCCTCGTTTTAGTATCACCATCATCCGTGATCAGTCACGATCGATGATCCACTGCTGGATGAAAATCTTCCCCCACCCTACCATCTCCCATTCCATCATCACCTTTTGCTTAAACGTTGACACATTCTAAGGCGCACGCACGCAAAGCAAAACCACCAACAGCAGACCCTAAAATGTGACGTGGCCGGGAGGGGGCGAGGCGCTTAATTAACCTATGCAAATTGTGTTAATTATCCCTGAAAGGTTACATCCAATTAAACATTTACAACAATAACTCTCATCTCGCGCCTCGGGATTTTCCCCCGGCAGTGTGGGAGGCGGGGTTCAGATTTGGCAGAGCGGACGCGCGCCCGCGATGCTTTGGCCGCTCGCGATTGGCCGAGACGCGGCTACGTAGCCGCGTCTCGGCCAATCCGACGCCGCCAAATCCGGCGAGTCGCTTATGCGATGTACGCAATGGCAACGCCTTCCATCCACGCGATTTAGCAAGCGGCCGTGCTCGATCCACTGCTGGACGAACGGGGACCGGTTCTTCCCCAAACTAGCAGCCCCGTCGCCAAGCGCTCGCAATCCCGCGACGTTAATAATCCACCTGGCACCTGCACGCCAGTAGAGCTGACGTTATCGCTCCATCTCCTCCGTTCACGTGCCCTCTGGCGTTGGCACGTGAACAACGGTGGCCCGAACTCGAGGTGTCGTAAATGGGTGCTGCGTGGAAGATATTTATTTTATAGCGGTCTACCGCTTCGTAACAAGCGAGGGTCGGGATTCGTTACTGACCGGTAATTTCACGCGGTAAAAATGTATCCGCATATCTGAAGTTAGAGTAACCATGGTTCCCATAAGGTAAACGTGGAATTTCCACCACTGGCCTAATACCCCAATTCTATTGAGATTTAAAAATAAACACATCACGGTGGCACTGATGTAGCCGTAGAGGTGGCCGTGTCGCTCAAGGCTCACAGCACTGTGACCACCTCTTCACCATTGACATCGTCATATATAGCCTTAACAGACTTAGGGGCAAGTGCTGTTAGCGTGCACCTATGAAGACCGATACGACACAGCAGGGGGTTGGGGTCCAGCACCAGTGCTGATGTTTACACACCACCCTAGCTTGGTACAGTATGTGTACTCATTTAAGGCTGAGTCGACCGAGGGGAGGCGCAGGACCGGTTCAAATATTCGCCACAGTGGTTATGGGTAGAAACCGAACTCGGGTCCTCGGATTCGTAGCGCAGTGCCGTAACCACTGCGCCACCGCTCCCCGCGTCGTCATACCCCGTCCCCTCCATCACCACCACCAGAGCAGCATCAAGTCACCACCGCTGAGACTCTGGGTTCAAATCCGGGTTAGATCCTGACGTGACTGAACCAGGTTCTCAAGTGTAACTAGTGGATCTAGTATCGGCACGAGAGTCATGTTATTGACACTACATTTGGCTATGTGTTCCACCACCTCTGAATAAACATAAATTGGCATGTGGGGAAGTGCGCTCAAAGTGTGTGGATAGGAAAAATGTTACTTAATGGGATCTCGGCAAAAAATGTGTGGTATCCTTTTAGACGGACCGTGCACTCGGCGAACTGATTGACAAGAGTCTGAATTGGATACCTCTGAATCAGAATATTTATTTCGACTGGAGGACTATGATGAGCTGTGAAGCTCTGGTTCACAGGTGTCCAGGAGGGGCAGAACGTTACAACAATGCAAAACACGACAGGCGTGCAAAGTGTAGGAAAGGTAAGTGTGTCGCGAAAACAAGCTCGCGTGACGCAAGTGACATCGGTGGCAATGATTTGAATCAAATTTGTAAAGCAAAAGGTCGTTCTGTAAAGGCCAAGGCTGCTGTCACTGCAGTCCTGCACGAAGAAAACAATCTATGGTGCTACAACCCTTAACCCCAGCCGCAAAACCCCCTCATCCTGAACCCTAAACCATGAACCGCGAACCACTTTACTTTCGTGGAAGAAGACCCTCCACGAGAGGGAGCTCTGAAGGATATTTGGCCTCATCCACACTTACCAGACATCTCGAAAGAGTAGACCAAACACCCCATCGAGGCTGCCTCTGGTGGAGACTTCCACCAGCACTGGTGTGGGCCAGCGAGCACGGTGGCGAGATGTTAACGACCTCGCCTGGTATGCAGGAGGGTCGTGGGTTCGATCCCGACCCTGACGCCTATATATTCGGAGTTTGCATTTTCTCCCCGTGGTCGCGTGGATTTTCATCCTGGTCCTCCAGTTTTTCCCTCTACATCTAGAAGCATACCTTGTGAGTATTTGGCTGCTATAAATGTCCACATGATGAGCCATGTAGTTGAGCTATCATTTGTGACCAGGTCACATCTGAAAATAGCTATATAGCTCAATGAGCCTTAATTAGTAATTACAAGATTAAATCATAAAAACAAATTTTATGTCCACGTGTGCCAATCGGCACATTAATTTTCAAATTCCTCTGGAATCTGTTATTGTTTCCCGACTTTCCGAACCGAATAATTTTATTGTGTTATTTTATTTTATCAATTTATTATTTTATTCTCATTCTACGTGACTTTACCGAAAGAACCAAAGAAGATTCTAAAAATGGTTACCGGTTTATCGATTATTTTTTTTAAACCGTTGTTTCTTTACCCACATTTGTGGGGACTGTAGACACTTTTAAATAATCTGTATCTAAAATACTGACAATTCAGTGATTGAGAACTCATTTGTCTGTGTTCTCATTTAGAAGGCAGACCTGGGGGTCTAAACGTTGTGATTTGTATGTACTGTACTGGGATCTGTGTGTGTGAAAACTATATTGATTTAGAGTTTTATTTAACCAATTGAAAGCTCATTGAGATGTGTAGCCTCAGTAAAAGTAAGACCAGGTAAGATCCTAGGGTCAAATTCGTAGGCTATACGAGCTATGTGGATATACTCTCTATTGATTTGGTGTCCTTTAAGCAGGACAAACCCCACTGAGATTCCCTTAACTCTTTGTTTCATTAGAGGTTTGTGTTATTATAAGACTCGCACAGTTAGTCTCGTGTATGTCTCTGCGCTATGTTGTGATTGCCTTTTATTAACAATGAGATTCATTGTCGCATCTTTTGTTTTTTTCCCCCCCTTCGTCTCACCGAGCTTTGTCTTAATTCTTCACATTTAGTTTGGCATCCTCATCATGCATCACCTTTCTTTGATCTTGCATTGTGCAGCAATCAGTCGACTTATTGTTTTCCCTTCCCCTTGGCCGCCCCCACTTTAATTTCACCGTCCATTAACTATACTGGTTATTTAATTATATTTAAAATATTGACATCCATTGAATAATTTTCCTTCTCTGAGAGTTAGTCTAAACTCTGCAACCTTCTGGACTACATATTGTTTTTTACTTTAACCATCTTTGTAAGTTGATTTGCATTCTCTTTGCTTT